TTCAGTGAACACATAGAATGATATACTCAACTATGTAAACATAATTGTAACATATGTATAAGTAAGCAAACTTATGTGTGCTCTAAACTAAATCTTAACTATGATAGAATTACCATACGCAAACAAAGTAAACACACAGGTTGACTAATCAACAAGCATAATGTTAATCTTCTACTAATTAAGTTCTTAATTCATCAAATGTTAGAATCAACCTTAAAGTATGACTTTGTTAATAATTTTACCCAACAATATCCAAGCATTTGCCCATGGTGCTTAGTTTATATTGACTTCAGCTTACTAAGAAGGTAAACCTTATAGCTGGAGCTAGTTCTATTCAGGTGACTACGAATACAGTGTTACAGTCAGGACATTGTTAACATAGCTGTGTATAAAGCCTGGAAGCGGAGGGACACAGTGAGCCATCGTAACTCTTTGGTTTTGTCCAAACAGTAGTGTAATGCTGACAAGTTGTGTTCATAGGGGAAGGCATGTGCTGGAACTCTCCTGATGAACAGCAGCCATGAGCAGTGATGTTCCCAAGTCCAGTTGTGAGGTTGCCAGTAGCAGTCGTTTGTGGAGAAATAGTGTGTTAATACTCATTTATGATCTCAACAGATGCCATATGTGTTGGTGAGCTGTAGAGAACTCTTGTCTCATGCAGCAACAAAGCAAATGTCCAAAGCAAGACATCTGACTTGGCTTTTGCACGTGATAATGAAACCAGTTTATTCATGTTGCTGAATGGTGCTGTGTGTGCAGGCGGAGTGTGAGTTGGCTCTCTCCAGGAAGATGGCTGAGTGGAAACCATGGGAGCCGCTGATAGAGGCGCCTCCTCCCAACCAGTGGAAATGGCCCATCTGAATACACCTGTGTCTGCTGCTCATGTCATACTGTCTGTGTGTGTGATCCATACCTCTGCTTCCAATGAAGTGATGTACAAATAAAAGTTCTGTAAGTATTTATTCTCAAGCGTCAGTGATCAGTTTGCACACACAATCAGTTACAGTTTTACAGTTGTGCAGCACAATGTGATGATCAGAGCCAGAACGCTGCTGCGGTGTTCTACAGAGAGTTGCCACCTGGGTAACAGATCAATCTTTACAGTTTGCCTCAGAGCACAATAATTTCCAGATAGTCAAAGCTCCTTTTCAAAGTCAAATATCTCATGCCCAAAACATCCCTACACAACACTCATGTAGTTAATATTAAATATAGAGTGAGAAACAACTGCCCAAAGGAGGCTTCACAAAGTGTGCATAGAGCTAGACCTTATCCCAATATTGTCTGTCTTCACATACCCTCCTGTACTGTAGTCAGGGTGAGAAGTTTAACACAAAGCTGCTGTTCAGATACCATCACACTATAGCTGTGCTGCTGTCAGGCTCTGACCTCCTGTGCACAACTGGCAGCTTTCTGTAACAGCTGAAGCATGATGGGGTAGATGGGGGCAAACTCTTTGCCCTGCCGAGCCCTCACCGACTGCACATAGGCCTCCAGAGCACCCCTTAGTGGAGAACAGAGGGGAGAGAAAGAGTTACACTACACGATGATCTGATAGGATTACTTTGACATATAATCAACAGGAAGTGTGGTTAGTGATAGTTATGAGGTGAATAACTGAAAAGCCTGCATACTGTGTTTCATAAATGGTCAAATTCAGTATGTGATGTGCTACAGTTAAAACCAGTTAAAGAGCTGCAGCTGTTCTTGTATTACTGGCACACAGTAACTGCAGAATCGATCGTTAAAACTAATATCTTAAGGAAAAATCATTTTCATTCCTTTGTAGTGTTAATCAGCAAAATGCACAAAAGCTCATAACCTGCATGTAACAATGTGGGTTTTAAAATGTTCAAATAATATTCAGCTATGCAAATGGTTTAATATGAATACATGTTACACCTCAAGGACAAGGATACACAGTGTATTTGCAAGAAACCCTGAATGTAGACAAAAACTCTACAGGGCACCTTCAAACATGTGCCAGCATTCTATAAAAATGGCAGGTTACCTGATCAAGGTAAGCCTGTCTCTCTCTGCAGGATGATCATCCAGCCACTGGGAGTAACGGGCAATGGACCACTCAGCTCTCTGTGGGGGCAGAGAGCTCGTTTAGTTGCTATAGTACAAGTCAAACACACAATGAAGCCAGGAAATTCAGAGCACTGACATTTTGGGGACTTCTGTGCTAAGACCACCATGTAAATCAGTGAATTTTTAGGGCAACAAATTCTTAGGGTCAAGGTTAGGGTGAACCTCCAGGAAATGAATGTAAGTTGATGTAAACTCCCTATAGGCAATATAAAATGTGTCCGCATACGTCTTTCTATGGTCATGGGGACACATTTTAATTCAGCTGGTCCTCAGCCATTCAAAGAACTGCTTGGGGTTCAGACTTGGTTTTAGGGTTCAGGTTAGGTTTAGTTGTGTGATGGTTAAAGGGTTAGCGAGCGCATTATCCCAGTGAGTGTCCTCACAACTAAAACGTATGTGTGTACAAACCTGGTGTGGTGACTTGAGCTCAGAAGGGGCTCTGGTGAAGAGGAAGTGCAGCAGGGTGCTGTAAGGGATCAGGTCACCCACTACTGGACTGCTGGCTAGCAGCTCACTGGTCTGAAACAGCAGTGGCCTGCGACACAAACACTCAGTAACATACTGTGCAATGGACACAGACGGGCTTCACATGTTTTAACGCATTAACTACAAATCATGCAAATAGCTGTAACTATTTCAGCTGTCGGAGGAAAAATAAACGCCATTAATCTCAGAGACATTTCTGGAAACCTGAACAAAGAAAACTAAAACTGTGTTTAGCTAAATACCAATGGAGCTCAGAGAAAAATATATAGTGTATAGTTTTATTGTAAAGCTACAGTACTGTGCAAAGGTTAGACATTAAGATTCTGAACCACCTTGCTACACTATCAGTGAGGCGTCTGCTGGGTCCCAAATTCATTCTGCAGCATGACAACGAACCCAAACATGCAGCCAGAGCTGGCCTATCTTTAGTCACAAGAAGGACAGTCTGGCATCACAGAGCCCCCTCTGGGATCTAATGTGGATTTAGGCTGTGGAACTATGACTGGGCGCCAAACAGGAGGACAATCATCTAATTTCCTAACCTGTTACTTCTACAGTACCTGCTGTCAAGGTGAACGAACAAGTAAAAAACAAAACTGGAAAAGAAGAAGTCCAGCAACACTTGCAGTGGTTTTAATAAGAAGACAAACACATTTCGGCTCCATGCTGCTAGACTTTCCACTTTCGCAGTACTATAACAGAAAAAAAAAATTACTTTAGATTTAAGTTAAGATGCTTCTCTTTCCTCTCACTTCACCAGGTGAGCATCATTTAGCTCCTTCACTTTTTCTACTTCCTGTCTCTGTAGGTGTAACAGCTTTTCCTTCCTTCCTTCAACCACAGCGTTCACTGACAAATAAAAACTGTAGCATTATTATGAAAAGCAACCTCACCTGCAGTCCCTGAAAGATGTGCACAGTACTATGTTCACAATTCGCTTTTACATGCACCTCCTGCTTGTGCTAGGTCTTGTGCTAATTTGTTGAAACTAGACATACCTGAAGGAGCGCAGGATTCTGTAAGGTTTCCCCAAGTCAGACACTCTCCTGCACAGAGGAGTTACTGCCATCTCCATCTGACACATGTGAAAACATACAGTAAACACACATGAATGCTCAAACAGGCTGCAAGAGAGAGCTAGGCTCAGCCTGAAAACATCCACCTCGGAAAGCTCTCCCTCACCTGTGCAAAGTCAGCGGCCAGCCTCATCTTGCCACCTTCTCCCAGTGGGCGCAGCAGGCTGGCGTGGCGGATGAACAGCTCAATGGTTCTCTGAGCAATGGACTCTGTGCTCTCATAGATGAAGTCCATGCACTGGAAGTGTTTGAAGTAGTCAGCCATCACTCTGGAGATGAAGCCCTGCAGTTCCTTCATGTAGAGGGAGCATGGGACGTCGGGTTTATCAAAGCTGGACAGTGGCCTGCAACACACAACTTTACTTTGAACTACCAGAATTAAACACATTTATAAAAAGAATTTCATACGTACGTGTGTGTGTGTGTGTTGTAAACTAACCGCTGTATGATGGCTGATGTCAAAAAGCCAAATTATATTGACCATGATTGATTTACAAAATCATTAAAAGGGTAAAACAGCCATGGAGGTGAATACTTTTTATAGGTGCTGTATCATCAAATTAAGATTTTACATAAAAACACTGATACAATGTCCTGCACAGACTAAAATGGTCTTCGTCTTTTGGCGTTGTGACCATTAACAAAAATGTTTAGTCACGGGCCCTTGTCATATCTCAGATGTCTATGAGCTGTTAGCATTTCCACCACCAAGGGCCCGATCTTGAACGACTGGGCTAAACTCGCCAAGTGAAATGCTCTTAGTTCATTCACCTTCTGAGTTTTCATTTTTCTAATAACACGATTGATATCACTCATTTCTAAACTAATAGTTTACTCCCAAGTATTTTTGGTTATAATACTCCCTTACTTGTAATGAAAGTGTTTTTATATTGTCGTACTGGTACTTTTACTGAAGTAAAGAAAACGCCCACCACTGCCAGGAACTGTGGAACCCGAAGAACAAAACCAGAAACTGCCCCTTTTGTGCATTCTTGTTTGCTTGTCCATCACTTTTGAAGAATCATGATGATTAGGAAAACCCATCCTGTCTTTTGTGCCGTTTACTGTGTGAACAAAGCTGTATACAAGTTGTGGCAGCCTGCGTTTTGTTTTCGACCGGTCACCATCGTTCAAGCACAGCAAACTGAACCAGTGCTGCAGAACGACTTTTAGTTCACGGTGCCTCTAGGAGAAACACAGGTAAGGATTCTGAAATCAAATGTTCCTGTGGTGGAAACAGATCATATGTTACGTACCCTGAAAAGTCTTCCTGGTGTAGTGTGATGATGATCGCCTCTATGGAGTCACTGACTGACTGCAGGAGAGGCTGCACGGCACTGCTCATCAGGGCCTGCACTCCCTGAATCAGGAAAGAGGGAAATGGACAAATCAAGTTCTGTGATGCTAAAGTAGATTTAGACTGTAAGCAAACAACATCCAGACCTGACAACAGCTGCTGTGTATCCACAAAGTCCAGTTGACATTAACTACTGTTCACTACCTGTGCCTCAGGGGCACCCTGTTGCTATAGCAACACGGGCAGTCAGGTGAGCAGTAGGTACATACTGTATATATGAGCCTGGATGAATGACTTAAATTTGAGATGCAGGCATGCTATCAGCTGTGTGGATGTGTTGATACAAGCTTTTTGAATCAGGATCTTTTCTCTGCTCCATCTTTACCAGCATTAACTGAAATTCTAAATCTTGTCCACTACACAGTGTGTGCCCATGAGTTTGTTTCTGTGTGGGTGTCACAGAAATTTAAACTCTAGCAGGCTGCGAACAGATTCCCCATCGGGAAAACTTCTCCTTCACAGGCCGATGTGCAACAGTTACAAAAAAATAATCATATGTAGGTCACTGATCAAATGTCTTCAAATAAACAGAAAGGTACAGAAAACTATCTGAAGAGAAGACATTTAACCATCCAGGCCTGGCCTTTACTCTTATGTAGCTATGTAGCAGACATATTTTTTCATCCAGATGTGCAGAGGAGTCTCTGAGGATTCTGGAAATACCTTCAGAACAGCTGAACAACAATGACGCTCTGAGTTTTTCTAAAGATGCCTACTCACTTAAATGTCCAGAGCAATGGCTGCTTGGCTCTGTGACAGCTGCAGCCTTAGATGCAAAAATGACTGAAAACCAGATTAAAACACTTTCAGTTTTTGTAAACTAGACTAAATGTAACAATCCGATTCTGAAAGTCTGACTAAAATGAAGAGATTTCCCTAACTCACATAACTAAATCAAACCAAATCACCAAACAAATGATACATTAAATAAACACACGTAATCAAATGCCCTGCTGAGAATTTAATCAACTGCGCAGGTCTCAGTTTTCTAATTCATGCTTCTAAAGAAAGGACAATAGGACAAGAGGATGTTGTTCCCTGTAATTATCCTATAGCTGGTAAAATGCAGTTTGAACACTATCAGCACAGGAGAGTGTATTTTCTACTAATGCACACGTGCTTCACAATCTTAGCTTCAAAAGTAGCATTTAAAAAAAAAAAACAAAAGCACTAAAACAAATCCCTGACTAGTTTGGATACCAGAGGATGAGCGTGCTAAATCACAAAGAAAAAAGAAAATGTTACTGTGATATTGTACCTTCAAAGATGACGACAGGGCCTCGGCAGCGGCCGGTGGACACGTCCCCAGACCTGATATAATCTTCAAATACAAAACACAGGAATCGTTAACGGAGGCAAAAAATAAAAACACTCTATTTATACCTTTTGTACACAAAATGCAGCTCTAAGAGCTCAACACCAAACTGTATGGAAAACAAGGTTTTACGTACAATCCATATTTCTCAGGTGGAAAAACATGATCATATTCATAATGACCCCCAACACGCTTTGCCTCAAAATGAACCTGCTTTGAATTAACTTAAAATACTATCTTTAGAATCAGAAGCAGTAACTATACTTTCTGTTTTGTCCTCAATTCATTTCGAACTGTTGTCATACATCCAAACTGTAATACTTTAAATATATATTAGACGGTTTGGACTGTTGAAGATTTGTGTTGTCTGTGAGCATATACTGACTATTGAAGCTTGTGGAACTAACAAAACAGTTTCTCTGATAAACTGATAACAGACCAGTTGAGAGCCTCTTGAGAAACACCAACTAAATGGTGGAACCTTCTGAAATTGGTCGACCTTATTCGAGACAGACGAGTCAGTTATCGGTGTTTGTTTTCTCATCTACCCTCGCTGTTCCACAACCTGCCTTCGTCTTCTCAACCCTCCCTCCCTTCACCTGCCTGGAATAAATTCTCACTTTGTTTTCACAGAGTAAAATTTTAAAGCCTCGAGATTAAATATTTAATGCTGGAGTAATCTGCTTTTTTATGCTATTAATCAGCTGGGCCACTGCAAAGGGACACACCATACATCTTTAATAGAGGAGGCTGAAAGAACACACCTGACTACTTTTCCTGTTATCTCCCTTTAATTTCCTTTGCTTCCTGTCACGTACGTGTGTGTGTTTGCATCTATGTGACATCTGGATGCATTAGAATAGTAATACAAGGATCACATGCACAGAGTTAGAGAAATGTGTGTGCTGTCACTGTAAGCAATCTCGAGGATGAAAACTGTGGTTACCTAATGTACCAATTACTTGAAAACAAGGAAGAAACAGTAAGCTAACAGTGACAAAACAAGTCACTGATGTGCTTTGGTACTTTTCTATTGTGATATGCATGCAACAGGCAATGTAGCTGATGCATGGAGAAACACACACCAGTCAGATTTCTGTAATTCAGTTAAGCTGATTAAGCAGGCTCCAACCTGCTCGCTCATGCTCCCTCTCTTGTGTCGGTATTTGTTAAAACTGTCATGAGCTGTTGATATTTTGATCTCCCATGCAGTGTGTACAGTTGAGAAACCAGTAGTGCATTCAGAAAACAAATCTCCTTTCAGGCATGCACCTTCTGATGTTAATCTGATGGCAGTTAACGTCTGAATACGGCAATCTGCTCTATTTTACTAAAACAGTGCGCACAGGCAAAGTCTAAACCTAAGGCAAAGATGCAAATGGATGTGCCCAAGAATTATATTGCAATTTTGGTGACCACCAGCGTTGGCGCATATCGGGCACAGCCAGGCACAATGTGGAAAAGAGGCTGAATACAATGTTAGTGGGAGAAATGCATCATGAGCAACTGGAGATGAGGTGGGCTTCATTAACGGCCAATCAAAAATTCTCTTTGATGAACCGTACTTTGATTTATTTCAGATGTCACGACATGGAAATATGCAAAATGCAGTGATGAGAGAGCCTTTCCCTATACCTTCTAACACTTGCGCCTTAACATCTGTGTTTATGAAGCTCAAAATGTTTCAGTTTTTGGTGAAATTGTCATAAAATTATAAATTCAATTGTATGTTAAAGGCGTTCCTAATATTATGACCCTTTTGTGTATGTAGCTGTGGAGGACAAAAACACAGACACCTCTGAATATGTAGTAATGTATGAATAATCTATGACCTCAATAATAAACTTATCATTGAATTTATACATTTATGTTATATATTTCATAAACAGATGTTAAGGCAGACGTGTTGCATTGAATTGCGTACAATTGTACAGAGGTACCTAATAAAGTGGCTGGTCGGTGTATATACTGTATATATTTGCAATGCAAATGACAAGAACTCCCTTTCTATATTTCCCATTTCATCCATCCAAACTGCATCCAGTTAACGTTTCCATGCACAGTACACGAGCGAACAGCAATTACATGAGAACTTCACCTTTCTCAGTTTGGGTGCTGTCACGACTTTCTCTAATAACTGATGAGAACAGAGGGCGAGCCTCCTTCATGCTCACAGTGGTCATTAATTTACACTCAAACTGTTCGGTGGTAATTGTGTACACTACATTTTTACATTTGTGTAGTTGTGCTCAGGATAAACTAACTAATTAAGCAAAAATGAATTTCATCCTTAACGAAGTGAAGCCAGCTGGCTTATTAAGTCAAGTGGCAGCCTGACATTTAAATGACTACAGAAATAGAGAACTATTACAGTGATTTCCCTGGTTGGTTACCAAACAGATTACCACACTGTCACAGCGCTACAGTAATATCTCTATAGGCTGATCTGCGACAGGTGAATTATGAAGTCACTCAATTCTCGATTTAAACTCTAAATCTAACTGCTCAGTAGACAGACAGACAGTATTTGTTCCTACCTTGGCCACAGCCTGCTGCAAACGGTGGAGCGAGTTCACCACTGCAACGTTCCTCCTCTGGCCCTCTGTTAATGGACCGATCACCTGACTGGCATCACCCTGAGTACACAGCTACAGACAGAAAGAGGTGTGACTGACTGACCAAAAAATAAAGTCCTGCAAGCGCAACAGAGCTGCAAGTGCAATAATTCATTTTGAAGAATTCTGTCATTTCAATTTGAACCTACTGTACATATCCAGTCTTTCGAACACTTTGATAATAGTTTGTTGAGGTGAAAAGTTATTCCCAAAATGAAACAAATAGTGCCCGCATAGGTGTTTAAACTGGCATCAGTCAAAATGGAAAGTGCCTGATCAAAAAGACTTCACACACAAACACACGTGCACATGCACAATGCTGTACACACCAGTTGTTCAGACTTGACACAGAAGAGCTGGACAGTCTTGGCAGCGTTCTTGGCCACAGCAAGGGAGAGGTCTGGATCTACTGATGCTACATTCAGCTCACTGAAAACAAACAAACAAATAAAACAAATAAGACAGACCTCCCATTCCAGTTAAATAATATCACCTTATCAAAAGCAAGCTTTAGTAAATACATATTATATAAAGTGGTCTTGACAGCACCATGTATGTGAACTTATTGTTTCAAATGTTAGACTTGTTTCACTGTTACAACAAAGTCTAAAATGTTAGTGTTTCATGCTGTTGCCCATATGTTTAATAAAAACCAAAAGTGTTTTCCTGGGATTCCTGGGGTCTGACATTTGCTAATGAGCGTTCCATTTCAGAGTGAGACAAGTTCTTTAACAAACTCAGACATGGTTGGCATTTTAACTGAGAATATTAACAGCATCAGTGAGGAGAAATACCAGCTGTAGCACTAATTCAGCATCTGTTATTTTTTTCATGCATATTGTGTATTACCAATCACATTTCCTGAGTCATTATTACAGGATCTTTAAACTGGCCCTAAGCCAGCAAACCATGAAAAGTTCCACCCTATTAGATACAACTGTACACAGAACTATTAAATAAAGCGATTTTAAATGAAAGGAACTGTTATAACTTCTACATTAAAACAGAAGAGCTCGATTAAATTGAGTCCATCCAGTTAAATGGGTCTTTCATCCTAGAATAACATGTCAACCACAAAGGCTGGAGATGCACTGGATAAGCTGTCTGACACATGTTGGTATGTGTTGACTGGTCTCTCAAGGTGTGTGGGCAGGATGTAACAGGCCAGTGATGCAAGAAGATCTTGAACTTTTCATAACTAAAGGCCTCAGCAGGCTCCAGTCAAAGTGTTTTCTAGATTGTTGCACAGCATCTGAAACCCTGTTTCTGACAGTGGAATCGGTGAGAAGCTGAGACAAATAATTTTTGTAACCGCCTGAGTGTCAATCCACAATCACAATTAGCCAAGTGTATAGAAACGGGGCAGGGTTTGAACGGCTCTCTCAAGCTCACTTACTTCATTCTTTTCACACCTACTGTCACTTTTTGTGTGCTGCTAGACAGTGAACACCTCTTCAGAAGTAAGGACGTCATATTTCTTCTCTCCCTCACATCTCTTCCTAGCACCTATCCTTACATCTTCAGTAGGAGGGACTAAGATGTGAGCACAAGATGGATGCAATGAAGGGAACTGTTCCACAGGCTTACACTGATTTTAATGGAAGACTCAGAAAAAAAATCATATCTGGTGTTACTTTATAAACAAGATCACTTCCAGATGATTTTTTAATAAATGTTTTTTAAGCTTTTAAAAAAATAGAATGTTATAAACAATTCGGTGACAGAAGCGTCTTGTGGGATAAATCAAAAGCTGTTAAACGTGTTGACACGCTGCGGAGTGTGTTCAATGCTTCTGTCACTTCTAGTGGGTCTCTGCTGTAAGGCGCCCGAGCTGGCATGTATGGCACGTGCCTGCTGATAGTCTTGATGATGCTGTCCAGCTCGTCGTTGGAGGGCGGGTTGCGGCCGCCCATAGGAAACACGAGGTTGATAGGATCAAACAGGCGAGAGAGGGACTTGGAGAGGTAGGCTGCCTCGTACGGCTGTAGAGAGTCCCTCAGAGCCTTTTCTGGGCTGCGCACACACACAAAGACACAAAATGTATACACATAACTGATGTGTTGAGAAGATACAGTATTTAGAGACAAGAAATGTTTGAAGAAAAAATTTCTCGGTAACATAAATAAAAGGAACAGTCACTCGTTTGTTTCACTCCTGACAACAAAATCAGAAAAGAGCATCATGTTACTCTAAGGTGCCCTGAAGTTACACATGGTATTAGTATTAATCAATTATCCAAACTGTTGCCAATTAATTTTCTATCAACTGACCAATCTGTGTTAGTTTTTATGATTGACAATTCACATATCCTAAAAAGATTCTTTCCCAGGTGGATTGAAGAGAACACTTCTGTAGCTACCACATACATAGATATGCATAATCCAGGTTTGTGTTGCATTATTGGAATCACTCAAGTTTCATTTTGTGCCCTTAAATTACTGTATGCAAAAAACTAATCAAAGACAACAGTGGGGTTTTTTAGGTCAGTGTGTTCTGACTCAAAGTGTAATAGTTGGTAGACAAACGCTCTCGAGGGCCCTGCACACAAGCACCATTATGTCACAGCTCATCATGTGACACGTCACATGACCCCCGTAATTCACACCTGTGTGAATTCAGTAGGGGACTACTGAGATGGATGAGTACTTTTAACGTGTGTCAGCACCAGGAAAATAGGACAACAGCGTATCCTGAAGCGTTCACATGCGTCATTGCCGCCGGTGTGTGGCCTTTCATTGATAATAATGGAGGCGGGTGTTTTGATGCGCATCACATGCCACCTGTGTGCGGTGACCTTCAGTCTTCTGGTGCAGCAGTTGGTCCTGAGATGTGTATTAAGTGTTTTGGTTGCATTAGTGTATTCTGGATGGCAGATTAACTGTAGCTCTGAGCTGCATGTCCATAAAGAGAAAGCTTTTGAAAAAGTTAACGCAGTATTGCAGAAATGTAAATTACTAAATGTAAAGATTCATAAACAACAAATTGTTTAAGCTCTACTTTCAAATACTCCCTTAATGTTTTTCCAGTCCTAGTCCCTGGCTGTGTCTAAAGTCATTCCCTTGTTCCATATTCTATAGTGAGCAGTACAATGAGATTTCCAACACAAATTATTGTCATTTTGATCAATCTCTGACAGTTGCAGTGCTAATGCTAATTCTGACATCTAGAAAATGCAAAGCAATGCATTTTGGGATTGTTGCCCAAGTCCCTCCCATGGGATTTCATGTTGAGAACGAATATATGGTAAATTTATACTCAGAATTCAGACACTCAAATTCAACGCTGAAAGCAAAATCTAGTGCCCTATATTGTAGAAGGGGAGTAAATTTGGAGACTGCTCCTTTCTTTCTGCTACACATTGTGGGTCAATAACATACTCACATACTGTATCTAGTGATTTTAGTCCAAAGTAACTCCAATCTATCCAAACCTACTTTTGAGTTGAGCAGTTTACAGGTGCTTGGTCACCTGTAAATGAACCTGCATCTAAACTGTACCTCTAAACAAACAAAACACAGACACACTCCAAAACAAACCTTTCACACTGTTTCATACCAAACCAAACTCTCAGGTGTGTTTACACTCTAAAGTGATTCTGATCACGCTGTTGTCTGAGAATGAGCTCACTTGTAGTCCTGTTTGCCGTGGGTGAACAGGTCCTGGCCGTCTGTGTCCGTGGCTGTGATGTCCAGAGATGTGTCCATCCCTCCGCTGCTTGTTAGCGGCCCCTGTAGGCTGGCGCTATACTGCTGCAGGCGACGCCACAACTCATTGTACAGTCGCAACAGTTTAGGATACTCTCCTTCAAATGCCTGCTTCAGGAAGGATGAGGCTAGAGGAAAAAAAAGAGGTGTTGAAAAAACATTTCTGACTATTTTGGAGACAACAAAGAATAACCAAAGACCCCACACAAAATTGTATATTTTAACAATGCACTATAATATATTCTATAAACAGTGTGTCTGCTGAACGTGTAAGTAGAAAACTGCATGCTTACGTTTTTGCAATAACAACTTTATAACGCCCCACATCTTGTGTTCTTGACTTATTCTGCTAAAGTGGCCAGCATTATGTGTTCTGGGGCTGCCCCCTAAAGTGCAATGCACAGCTGTTTACCCACTGCAACATGCATCCATCTGAACAGGACTAGGAAGCTAACAAAACTGTGCGAGGAAAACATTTCAGTGAGCTGGCACACATCAAACACACATGCACCGTGGTTAACTGACGGGAGATGCTTAAACTTGACAGGCTACAACCAAGTCTCAGAAGAAAAAGCTGCCTATAAGAACACTGTTTCAACAGAAATACAACTGTGCTGCCTGTCTCAATATTCTGACAAATCCATATGGCAGCCTGACATTATATTTTGTCAATTTAAATCTTGCATCATATGCAACTGTCTTTTGTAGATTTTTTTTTAATGAAAAATGTTCCTGTCACTCTTTTGCATTTAAATACCAGTGTTAATGTGGTTGACATCAGCACTGAAATTCATGCCAGCTGTAGAGTCAACTGATGTTTTCTAATTATGGGTATAGATGCCCCTCATTCCATTTTCCAAATAAATAGATTTGGTTTACATAGCTTGGTGACTTGTTTGCACAGCTAATAGATGTGTGATTTATGTTAATGTGGTGTTACAAGGCTTTGAGAGATAGTGCAGGTCAGTCAGCACCTACAGCCAGTACTTGTAGGCCCAGAACAAGAGACATGTCTCTAGATAATTTTCCTACACACTAATTCAGTGTAACTGTAATTCAGTATAAATGTAGGATCAATGAAATGTATCTTAATAGTTTGGGGGCTTAACACAAAAATATAAGTGGAGGTTGGTGTGAAAAAGACCAGCACACAGTGAGAGAGGGAGTAAGGATGGGAATCAATCAGTCTTATTGTTTAATCAACCATAGGGACAATCAGTAATACAAACATGTAACTTAAACATTAACAAACACATCGCCCATTCCTATTAACTTTTGTTCCAGAATATCTTCACTTACATACACACAGACAGACACACCATGGCAGAAACTGCATGTTTTTCAGAGTGAGTTTGAAGCCAAGTATGTTAGCAAGCAGCCAAATGTGCCTCTTCTATTCTCACTTTGTTATTCCCTGTAATCAGACAACTCTCTCCTAAAACACCCCCATATGATCTGTGAGTGTGTGATAGAGTGACTGAAAGATATTACTGTCATAATAATTAAGTCTTTGTTTCCTCCGAGCTCACCCCTTACAAAGATGCACTCATACTGTTAATCTTTTTTTTTTTACTGCGGTTATATAGAGAACAAGAGAGGGATAATTAGGAAGGTGAACAACAATCAGTTTCCATTTTGAAAGCCATTCTAAGCTGTTTAATTTCTGAAAAGCACTTGGTTCTAAAATGACCGATATCTCTAACTGGTGCCTGTGTGACGCATCACTGACCTTACATTTGTTTTTGCTTTCATGTTTAACCTTGTCAATTGCATCTTCCTAATCTAATCACAAGGGCAAATGCACAAATTTTATGAAAAGATGGCAAAACCACCAATCAGCCTCATAATTTTCTGGCACTGCAGGTTATTCAAGTGTTACTGTAGATGCATCTCTCCAGGTTAGTACAAGAGCATACATTAGAGATAAGATTAGTATCACACAGGCAGATATTTCCATTTCTTGCTCTCAAAATACCAGGATTAGCACTGTCAACCAGAGATTCAGGCTGATATCAGAGAGTGACAAGTACATTTTGAAAATAAATATGTGCGGATATTATTGTTGAGCAGCCACCTGTATTTTCATGTGGTCATATTGTTATTACAAAAGATTCTTGATAGATCATCTGATTGCTTCCTGCAGCAGACGGGAGGCATTTTAAACACCAGTACAGTCGATCTTACAGCACAGTCGCTGTTCCTCCCTCTCTCCCTCTAATTACACACAAGAAAAACTAGTTTTGCTGTATGCATTAAGTCAAATTAACACAATAAAACTTAAAGGTTCCCTGTGGAGTTATTGACCTCTAGCAGCACTATGAGGCTATTTTCTGAAGTGGGTAACTGTTTTGATTATTCAGTACACGTGCATACACACCCGTGCTTGCACACATGGATGACATGGTACAGAATCCTACCAGTGATGTCACACTATTCTACTTATCAGCGAATGATGGCGAAATGTCAAGATAAAATGTGTTGGCAAAGGCACAAAACAAGTAAACAGCTCATAAGCAACGCTGTAAACTGTCTGCAGCATACTGTGTTCCAGGCAGCTGTTGTTTTCTCTTCCCAGCTACAGTTTGACTTTGACTTAAAATCAATAATTTGTCACCCATTCTGACCCATCTGGTTTTATATTTTTGTGAAGGTTAGAATTATCATGGCTCGTTGTCGCAGTGTAACAGTAGTACAGACCAAGGTTGTACCACAGCCCACTGATTCAATATGTGATGGCTGAGCGCTCAGTTTGCTCCATGAACAACAGGCTGTTTATGACTCGGGGCCCCACCGATATCCTGCTGCTAACTGAGCTCTTGTTACAGACTGATGATTATGGCTCACTAAACAAAGCCTCCCACTAGTTGTGTCTGCTGGTGGTACAGCAGCCATCTACTGTCTATGGAAAAGAAACCCTTACTTTAAGTAATTATTCTCTGCTTTGAATTAGCAGCTCTGACATTTACGCTGTCAATGTCCTCTTAAAGTGGAGGCTAAGGGAAAGAAAAAGACAAATCCTACCTTCAGTTGCTCTGTGAAACTCCTCGCTAAGTGTGTTGGTTACATCGGTCCAGAAGGTGTAGAGGATATCAGGCTGGCCGTCCTGTCATCAGGTAGACAGAAGGGAAACATGCTGATTATTTGATGTCCACTGATAGTGGCATGAGTTGATGAAGCAGTTACAGTACTGTCTCACTCTAACCAGCTTCTTCCTGATCAACCTATTAAATGTTAATAAAAAGTTGAGCTGATGATGGTTCCCATGACCTACTGTAACAACTTCTGCTTCTGAACCTTTTGGAAATGCGATCAAATTCATTCTTTTTGCACCTCCTCATGTTTTCCAATGTGATGGGACTGCTCACCCTTCTTTTTGCTACAGTGCAATAAGTGATGAAATATAATTCTGAATTTGAGACAGTCCTGAATAAAAACTGTATTTCCAATTTTGTGTTAAGTAATCACAATAGTCATTACACGTCACAATTGTTTTGTTTTTTTTATCTTATATCATTATCAGCACAGAGGTAGCCGGTACTGATATCCATCATGTACTTTCTTCATAAATATTTATATAAGACCAAACTCAAAGCTTGTGAAAAACACTTCTGTGTAACTTGAAGGAAAAGAGCAGAAAGTGCTGTTGAATAGACACAGGTACTAAAACACAATCACTGTTTGACACAGCCTGACAAAGGATGGTGCTTTAACTATTTAATGGGGCTGGACATGTGTCTGTGTGGGCCACCTGACATCCACTAGGACCTGGCTTCCTCCAATTTTTGCACCTTTACTGCTTTCTCTCTGATTTAGTTTATTCTTCCTTGATGGATGAATTGTATAGAAGTAGAACAGAAAAGAACAGAAACACACACTTTTAGCCTTGTTTCTTTTTTTCAACAGTGTTCTTTCAACTTTGTGTCAACAGTTCTGTTTATCCCTTTCCTGTTTGAACATGGCAATGCCCCCAAACCCAAAGGCCATCCATAAACAAAAGAATTTTTCTCCAGTCTGCTGTGGAGGATGCTGATTGGCCTGCACAAAGCCCTGACCTCAACTCCGTCCAACACTGGACTGAAGTGGTACACAGACCATGAGCTGAACTTTGTCACCGATACTCTTGTGTCTTAAAGAGAGAAAACCCTGCAGCCAGGTTCCAACATCTGTGTGTGAAACTAAAAGAATGTAGGCTGTTAAAGCAGCAGAAAACTGCCATATGTTTTGAAAAGATTTGTTTAAAGGTGCATTAACTAATTTCTTTTCAGCCGCTAAAGGGTCTAATGAAACTCAAACCAAACTGACATCTTGTTTTCTAGCAACAATGTAAATTACGAACACCTGGTTGGGACAAACTGTAAATATATATTTTGAAAAAATAAAAATAAAAATTAATCCAAAGCTACCGTTAGCTGACTAACAAGTCCCGGGTCTTCGGCAGCATTACCACAGTACATTGTCAAGTGATGAGACTGACCGTAAGGAGACAGTCTGAAATGAAGCTAACAAAGAACTAACATATACCAAAGCTTGAATTGCAACCAAATTAAAATATTAATTCTACAAAAAGGTAAAATCACAAAAATGCTAGGTCACTAATGTTAACAAAACAAACACGCTAGCTTTGGATGCTAAAGCTAATGCTCCCTCAGCAGTCTAGAGACCAGCAGTAATATCTGAAACTGTAAAACGGACAGAAAACCAGAGCCTGGCAGCAGGGACTGGAGTGATACGCTCCTATCTCTTAAAATGTGTTACTAGCCTGGCAGCCACATTTTGCATTCGCACTAGCACAGATGATATTTGTCCAGCTGAAAACTGAATAGAATTGAACAACAACAGTCAGACCTGCAGGAAATCATTTAAGTATGAAGGCTCTTCTCCAGGTCTGTTCAACATGCCTAACTACTGATGCTTTCAATGCCTTTAAGAGCAGAAGCTTTTGTTTTTCTCTGCCTGCAGAGTGAGTGGGTGGTGAGTTAATTACTGTCACATGAAGGAACTATGATTGAGGGGAGGAGTAAACAAGTGATCCCAGAAATTAGAAAAAAAAAACACACTTTTTATATAACTTGCATTACAAATGCCCTAGGGTTGACTGTATTTGCTTTATCTGAGTTTGAGAGTTTGTACATTTACACTCCATTACACTCCCAATTACATTATACAAACTACTATCTTCCTCACAATGGGTTACACTCTCATCTGTCACAGTACACATCTCAGGTGTCTGACTGCTTCTCTTTATGTTCTTCTTCTCCTTTGAGAGACATAGATTTTGATTCAACAACTATAAAATGTAGCTGCTGAGTGGAACTATATATCTGTTCAGTCTTTTCAGCCACATGGCGTTCTCATCTATGACGATACAAAAGCGACAGTGCAGCTGCACTGCTGAGGAACCTTGCATTTAGACATGTCATTAGGTCTCCAACTCACACCTCCATCTCTGGGTAATTCGTGAGAGCTTTGTTTCCATAGTAACAGTCCCCTGCTCTGATTGGTACAACCAGATTTCTGTGGAGGTAAGATAGTAAGATACTGATTATGATGTGTTAATGACTGCCATGATTACTGTTGATACTACCACTAGCTAAGTGAGTGGGTCCAAGAAGCCAATGAATGCTGCTGCTGGTTTTGCCAGTATAGTACATAAATTTAACAAAAGCTCAAAACTAATTTCATTGTTTGTTTTTACGTTTTACAAAAAAACTGCTCTATACTGTCTTAAAAGATTAGGCTTCATTTTTTTGTAAGTCTACCTTAATGTAATATTCCTACCGTTATATATACACTGAATTAAATACTGGTTATGGTAAGCATATGAAGTAAATCCTTTCTTCTGTATTTCTAGTGTAAAAGGTGAGTTCACAGCCCTTGTGCAAACAGACGTAGTCTTTTTCCATGAATTCTTCCCCTTTTCAAAACTGTGGCCTACCATTACCCAGAATGCAACATAATCACAAACAGTTTGGGCCAAGATTCAGATGTGTTATGCTAGCAGCGGCTACTTTACAAAAGCCCTGAGCCTCTAGCCTCAAGCAGAGATGAGGAACTAGCTAGCTAGCTAAACAGATGCATTCTAAAATGTGCAAGTGCCCTATAACAAATGGCTCTGTCATTAAAAACCTTGCCAAGATCAAACTTCAGCCACCTGACATTCCACCTCTTCCTACCCAGTCACCCCTACTGAACTGGCATCTTTGGAGAATTTTAAATCACAGCAAGACCTGTGGTTATTACATTTAAACATTAGGAGTTTTTCTTTTTCTCTCTTATCTAAACTGGACTTTGTTCTTTTTCCAGTTAATGATGGCTCCACTAACAGTATTGTCCTCACTCAAACTTGGATTTCTCCCAGCTATTAGAGAGAATCGGGGTACACCCTTTACAGGGCGCCAGTCTATCACAGGGCTGACACAGAGACATACAACTATTCACACGCACATCCACACCTAAGGGCAACTGAAAGTCAGCTCTTAACCTAACCTGCATGTCTTCCAACTGTGGGAGCAAGCTGGAGCACCCAGAGAAATCCCACACAGGCATGAGGATAAACATGCAAACTTCACACAGAAAGACCCTGGTCAGCATTTGAACCTGAAACCTTCTGGCTGTGAGACAACAAACTTTAGATGACTCAGTTGTCCACTTTTCTCTCCTGTAACCATGCTCAGTACTATCCATTGCTTCCCAAGTGTTTTGATATGCCTTGCCGACATAGTTACCAGTCGCTGACCCAGCCGTGTCACACAGCCATGACTAAACCCAGCTAATCAATAATTAAATTTGCCACCAACTATTTTTATTATCGACTTTTAGTGGCTTTATTGATTAGTTGTTGCAGCCCTACTTACCTTAAAAATGTCTAAATATGTGAATTTTGTGTCTATCCTTATTTTAAAAAAGATCCAAACCTCAATTAGAGTACATACGTATAAAAGATTAAATGCGAGTATATTTTATACTGTTCCTAAGAAATGTTAACATGAATTCATTCTAAATCTTTTATTTTCTGGTTTTAATAACTAAATTGTAGTCTTGTTACTGTACCCTGCACAATTATTACTCTTATACTAAAACCAGAACAGCCCTGTTACTGGTCCCTGATTGCAGGTACAATAACTACTATCCTACCAAAATCAGAGCAGTGGTGCCCACTCACCTTGATGATCTCATCAATGAAGCACACATGACTGACAGGATCTCTCTTCTTCATCAGGACCTTCTGCAGATGTTGTACCTGTGAACATGCGACAAAAAAATATTAACACCTACAGTATTTCACCAGCCCTGCTGGCTGCCTTGTTTTTTGATTTTAATATGTGATTCAGCACTCTGGATATACTGTACATTAAGTTAGTGGTCTCAGGTATCCATGTACAATACCTGTCTGCACGCAGCACATATCTGGTCCATCAGTTTCTCCAGGTTGGTCCACAGAGCAGCGCGGAAAGCTGCTGTGTTGCCTGGTGTTGGCAGCACTGCTCTGCCTGGAGCACCTGAGGGGCAGAAATTCACTATGCTTGGTTTTGTTTGCTTTTTGCTACGACTCCTGCAAAACCAGTACCATTGACCCATTATTTCCTAACCAAACATTCGATACAAAAAAGCATTTAGGTTTCTTCCTACAAATGCAAGAGCATAATAACATGAGCTTTCATCAAATCCCCCAAAAAGCGTGACATCCAGACTGACTTCACCTGTTCTCAGAAACGGCTATAAGATGTTGATCGGGACATATATAGGCTATGTATTATTTATCATGGCTCATAAGCTGCTTTCATATGATGTTTCATGTGCCCATCTGTAGGTCAATTACTGTATGTGGATTTCAATGATATCGACTGCACACCTGCTCTGCAGCAAAGTTAGAAGATTATTCACAAATTTGAACGCAAACATCATCTCCTTCCAACCGTAGTAAGGCAGAAAAAAAGTACAACTTAATTTTCATCAAACCCGGTCGTCCTCCATGCTGGACAAACTGGTCTTAATGTACAGCCGGCTGTGAGACGAGCATGCAGGGACAGTCTCCGAGTGTGGACACGTCAAACATCTGCAAGTACTTATTTATGAAAATTTGTAAATGGTCCCACCCTTAAGCTGCACACAGAATATTCTGACAAGAGTTAAAGTGTACATAGACTATCAGTATACTTGTTCTTAAAGACTTAAGGGTTTTAAGAAGGGGTGTGACAGGATATTGTGCCACAAAATCTCACAATACTAAAACGTATTTATTTCTCGTCAAGGCAAAAGCTGTGTCGCAATATCAGTACATAAAAGAGCTAAAGCAGAATGTGTATGTTCACATTAGTCTGTAAAAAAAAACGCAACTCCCTGCTGTTTTTTTAATGCATGGGGCTGCGTTAGTTGGGGGGTTAGGGGTTGTGTTGTAGGCATGTACGATACAGCCACATTATGATGACTCCATGTGAGTGGCGTCATTCACATTTCCAGCCCGTCAGTTTCCGTTGTACTTTGGTTAACCATGCTGCTAACGTAGGCTACTCTACCTCAGCACCAATTCTACCACCAGTGTGTTGGCACTGATAAATAAAACACACTGTTTAACATCCAGTACTAACAAAAACGCATGGCATGTCATTATGGTGTGTTAACTATTGCCAAATTTACACAATGAACAGCAGTGAATGCTCATGCTAAGAATATATAGAAAAGTCTTCTTCCCATGGGCGTGCATGTCTCAGTCATTCCCACATACATGACTGGTCGATGAAGTGCCCTTGCCAGATGATGTCACCATCCAGTGCGGTGCAGGGAGGGTGAAAATAGCATAGATGGTCACACACAGCTTCAATTAGAAGTTAGAAGCTCATCCGTAGTTCATGTACAGCTATAAGGTCTGAAGAGACTCGTGAAATCATACAGGGGAGAAGCCAGTCAGTCGAGTTTGTAGCAAAACGTTTTATAGTACTCACAGATTGTTGTCTTTTACTGCATATAATTCATACTCGAAAAGTAGAACTGACATGACATTCATTACAAGTTGATTAGCTAACATTTCAAAATGCACCTGTTTTGCATTTTGGGACTTTCAGTTGAATAAGACTATTCTTCCAGTCATATATTTTGTCATTGAAAATTTCTTAAAACAGTGTTAAAAGTGTCTTGCTCTTGTGAACCCAATATTGTGTATCGCCTCATCAGCTAAGTGTATTGTCACACCCCTACCTTTAAGTAACATTATTTTATCTAAAAATGTCAATAAAACCATCCTCAGCCTAATCTGGGTTGGTTCTCTGAAAATAATGTGATTTAATTTAATGAACTCTGATGTGGCTGCTACATTAGAGCCATGTATATCATACATGTCCTTCGGCCAGAACTGACTAGTCTCTGTGGTCATGGTATAGTAATCTAATTTGGATGAAGCCAACCAATGAACTAGGTCAAATGAGAAAATGCCATTGACTTTCATCTTTTAGAAATGAGGACAATGTGTCCCGTGTGTTTATGCATTATTAATATAGAGATGCATGACCTCATTCTTCTTGGGCCTCACCTCTGGGATTGGCCGGCTGTGTCAGACCCTTGATGTCCAGAGCACTGGCGATGCTGTCCTGAATAGAGGTGCGGTAACCCCCAACTACGCTGTTGATGGTCTCTGTTAAACTGCCCAGGTTATAGAAGACCTGTAGGGCTGTGCCGACCTGGGTTGGATTCTGACCGACAAAAGGAGAGTGAAGACAAAGGGAGAAACAAGCAAAGTTGGCAGTCATCCATGGCGCTGTTTTTAATAAAATAAAATCAATCATGTAGTATATCTACTAGTTTCACACATAAAAACTCAGTTTGCCCACAGGTGACAGCAGCAGTTAAAAATATATTTTACACTGAATTAATGAGAGAGTGCCATGAGTATGAAGCAGAGCAAAGTCAAGACAGAAAGATAAGCAGAGGCAAAAGAAAAGCCAGATAAAAGAAGGAGAAGACAAAGTAAAATACATAAATAGCATTGATATACTTGCACTTACACTGATTCATTTATGTTTATCTACACTGTATATGCCTCAAATTAGGGCAACTGGTTGACTCAGTGGCGAGACCTGTCAGTTGACTAAGACTCTTGTAGTCGAGTATTTATTTTATTTTATTGTATTTTTTTTGTCAGCCTGCATGCATTACAAACAGGTAACCCCAGTCCCCATTATTATGTCGTCCTCTTCTCCTTTTGGTGTGCCAAGCAGCAATTTGCTCAATAATTCCCCCTGTGGTTGGGGAAGAATACCCACTTCAAAGGGGACAATGTCGCATGCATGGATGCATTCATGTTGGATGACACTATTTAGCAAATTACAGAAAAAGGAAATAAGGACAACAAAACACCCTAGGGCAAGCCACACAAAGGTGGCATTTGTACTTTATTAGAAGTGTTTTCAGACATCGTGGTCTCCTTTTACAAGAGAAAAGACTGTCACGATGATGTGGCTGCTTTTGCAAAGCCTAATTTTATACGAGTCCAATTTGTTTACCCATCTCCACTAAAGTAGAACACACAGCCATTTACCAACTGCTTCTGTGACATGCATCACTCTGAACAGGACTAGGAAACTAACAAAAATACATGGGGAAAATATTTCAATAAAGAATTCTAAATAAAAGGCATTATTAGGAATGCAACATAGCATGCATCATACTTTCAGTAACAACATGCACTGTGGTTAACTGATGGGAGAAGCTTAAACCTGGTGGCAAATTAGGCTATAACCAAGTCTCAGAAGAAAAAATTGCCTATAAGAGCACTGTTTCAACACAAATACAACTGTGCTTATTCCAACAAATCCAAATGGCAGCCTGACATTATATATCATTAAATTAAATTTTGCATCATATGCAGCTGTCATTTGTTGATTTTTAAATGCTCATAAATATGTTCCCGGGACTCGTTTGCATTTCATTACCGATGTTAAGGTGGTTGAAAACAGTGAAATTCATGCCAATGGATATTATTATACACACACAGAGCAATGGCCAAAAATATTGGCACCTCTGCATTTCTGTCAGACAACGCACCCCTTCTCCCAAAATAAGTGTTGCAATCACAAATTATTTATTTCATTTGTTTGCACTGGACCAACACAAAAAGCAGAAGGGAAAAAGCCAAATCTGATCCATTTCACACAGAACTCCAAAAATGGACTGGACAGAATTATTGACACCCTCAACTTAATATTTGGTAACACACCTTTTGGACAAAATAACTGAAATCAGTCACTTCCTGTAACCATCAGTGAGTTTCTTCAACCTCTCTACTGGAATGTTGGACCACTCTTCTTTTGCCAACTGATCCAGGTCTCAGATTTGAAGGGTTCCTTCTCCCAGCTGCTGGTTTGAGATCTCTCCACAGCTGCTCTATGGGATTTAGATCTGAACTCATTGTTGGCCACTTCAGAACTCTCCAGCTCATTGTCTGAAACCATTTCTGGTGCTTTTTTAAGTCTGCTTTGGGTCATTGTCCTGTTGTAAGACCCATGACCTCTGATGGAGACCCAACCTTCTGACACTGGGCCCTACATTGGGCACCAGAATTCATTAGTATTCTTCAGATTTCATAATGCCAGACACACAGTCAAGACATCCAGTGCCTGAAGCAGCAAAGCAACATCAGTGAACCTCCACTATGTTTGACCTTAGGGACCATGTTCTTTTCTTTAAAGGCCTCATTTCATTTTCTAAAAACAGTAGAATGATGAGCTCGACCAAAAAGCTCTGTTTTAGTCTCATCTGTCCACAGGAGATTCTCCCAGAAGGATTGTGGCTTCCTCAGGTAAGTTTAGGCAAACTCCAATCTGGATTTTTTATCTCTGTGTCAGCACTGGGTCCCTCTTCTTCTACCATAGCTTCCTTGTCATTGAGATAGCAACAGATATTGCAAGCTGACACAACAACCTGATCAACTATATGCAAAGAAGATGTGCTGCACTGCGTGAGGCAAGTGGTGAACACACCAGATACTGACTGGTTTTTGGACCCCCCAATACAGTAAAACTGCACATTTTAGAGTGGCCTTTTATTGTGGCCAGCCCAAGGCACACCTGTGCAATAATCATGCTGTCTTATCAGCATCTTGATATGCCACACCTCTGAGGTGGATGGATTATCTCGGCAAAGGAGAAGTGCTCACTAACACAGATTTAGACAGATTTGTGAACAATATTTGAGAGAAATGGGCCTTTTGTGTACATAGATCTTCAGCTCATGAAAAATGGGGGCAAACACAAGTGTTGCGTTTATAATTTTGTTCAGTATATATAAAGAACAAATAGTCGCACAGAAGAGCCAACTCCAGTTGACTTAGTCAGGTACAGCCCTACCTCAAAACATTATTTCTTTTTAGATGATAAACTTTGACATGTATTTCTATAGAGAAGTGAAGGCTTTCTTATTGAGCCCCATACATTATAGCATGAAACTGTTAGGGTTACCATGTAGCCACCTTTATAGAGACTAGCTCCTGGAACACTTGTGACTTCAGCAGTTGCAGCTTGAGTTACAATATTGATCCTCTGAGCTGAACTGAGTTTAGTCAGTTAATTGATTGGCAAACTGACAGAACATGTCACACAGCAACTACTTTGATTACTGTTTAATCATTTTTGTTGTTTTTTTTATAGTAAAGGTGCTTTCACACAAAACAAAACATGACTATCACCTTGGGCTCTGAGATACAGTGATGGTCACTTTAAAAGATTGACATTTTATAAACAATAAATTAATTAAGAAAAAAACTGACCAATTAAAAGACACCATACCTGTTGCTGCCCCACATAATAAAACACTGGTATTGTGAGAATAACAAATGAGTCTTCTTTCTTTCAAAAATCAATACATTCTTGGGAGCCTGATTTATCTCACTACTGTACGTCATCTAATCACAGTTTTAGATCAGATACAAGGACTGCTGCACTTGAATGACATTACATTTGTTGCTATTTTTTACAAATGTTTATCTGTTTATGTTTTTATAGTGCTGAAAAGCTAGTTCACTTCATTCACTGAGGCTTGAGATAAAAAAGACAACAATAAAACATTCTAATACTAAACAGTACTCAGGGTAGGTATAGCTTGTCACATTGGGAAATACACTAATTTCACTTTCTTGTTCAGAGTTAGACGAGTTACATGCTGGAACTTGTCTTGGGGAAAATAGTTGTTTATTTAAAGGGAGTTTGGAGAAGCAACAGGTCGCTTCATTATCTGAAACTCCCCAAAATTAATGACTGATGGAGGTTTCAGCCAGTGGGCTCAAGTAGAGAGGAGAGGAGAAGAAAGAAGGAGTTTTTCTACATGGGTCAGTTGAGCTCCCACTCAACAGATGGGCTACAGGGTCTCTGCTGGAACAATCAGAGTGCTGAGGTGAAACTAGCTCCCACACAGCATGTCCAACTGCTTACATAACATTCACAATAAACAACTCCTTGACATAAGAAGCTGTTGCTATGTGTGCATACAGTACCTATGTGTGTATGAGTGTCTACAGTCCCATATGTCCACACACATAATGGAATGACAGAAGCTGTTAGCCAAGACTGCTTCATCAGTAGTCAGGTTAAAAATACTTCAAGTGAGGGTGGAATACACGGGGGAAAGAGGAGTGCGTATGCCTGTGTAGAAGAGAAAGAGAGAGGGTGTATATGTCTAATTTTGGAAAAACAGCTTACTGTCGAAACGCAGGAGTAAAAGCCAGTCACTAAGACTTTGGAGAGAACTGCAGAGTCACAGTACCCTGTTACTTCACATTCTGTTAGGAGCTTCTTAAACACCTGTTTAGTATTAAGGATGGGCATTTCAAGCTATTCGATATTCGCTGGGAATTATTCGACAATTATTCAGAGATCACACCCACACCACCCCACCCCCACTCACAGACACACTGTATACACAAGACACACAGAGAACGCAAGGCTGTTCAACTGTTTATGTGACTTAATTTCAAAGCTAATGGGAAAAATGTCCTTTGCTATAATCTTTGTGATGAGGACCGTTGTTTGCTTTGCACGTTGATCATCAAACTTAGTTCTTCGGGTGACAAAGCTAGCCCCTGACTGATCTATGGAACGCGCCCCACTTTCTGCTGGATGCCTTGCCTTCTAATCGTTGTGCATGGTTGTTGTCGGCTAACTTAACCTGGCAGAGTTTGCACTGCACTTCATTTTTGTTTATTTTCTTGAAGAAGTTCCACACAGAACATATTGATGGCTGTAGTCTCTGTGTGTTTCTGCTTTTTGTATTCAGCACTGTAGTAAAATGATATACTGACCTCGTCATTGCGCTATTTCCAGGCACCGGTAAAAGCTTAGTTCTTAAAGACAAACCCACAGTCACATGAAATATTCTTCTTTTTAATTTAATGAATACTGAAATATTCAAAAATCATTGCCCATCCCTGTTTGGTATCTCTTTGCCTTCAAACTCACATGTACAAAGGAAACTAAGTCACTACCTTGTAATCTGCCTATTTTTATTCTCTGTTAAGCTATTGTCAATTAACTTGATGCTTCCTGCTGCAAAACTGCAAATTACACTGAATTTACCTAATTTTAAGATTACTTTTAAGAGGACCCAAGGATCACAAAGATAAAAACCTTACAGTACTAGTCTATAAACCAAATCTCTTCTATGGGTCTTCTATCTTGTGATGGTGATGAGGCTTGCATATTCCCATGACTCTGAGAGCAATGCATTCAGAAGCATTAGCCTTCGGTAGGGCCACCCATCATGGTAATGTCAAGTATGAGGGACCAGACAAAGAATGGTCCAACCTATATGACACTACACACTTTGAAGGCTGCAATAGATCCATCTTCTCCAGTCATCTTGGTTTCCTTGCCATTGGCATGAGCTAATCTGTGATGTGCCATGTGCATCTCTTACATTCTGACAATCTGTCAGACACAGCTTTTCAGTGAGCTCAGGTTTTACAGTGAGTGGGGATTGGCAATGAGAGCAGGCAAAATGATGGCTGAAGCTCCTAATCAAGAACTGATATGTAATCAGTGAATACTTGATTCAGTCAAACTTTTGGACAGAAGCAGGAAAGCTGTTCTGTAGCAATATTCACATCTGAACAGCCCTATTTAAAATCCAATCTGCCCACCCTGAGCTGGGGAGGGGGCTAGAAAAGGTGCCCTAAGAATAGTCTGCTTCATCACTTCTCACCTGGAAAGCCGTATCCTGATGACCATCATGCAGTCGAAAAGCATCAAAAAGTAGAACTATGAAGTTTGGAACTTGGAATATATAAACTCTGATGGACAACCCAAACTCAGACAGACCAGAGAGAAGGACCGTCTTTGCATTGAGTGAGACCCACAGAACTGGAGAAGGGCAACTAAACAAAGAACAAGGTCAATACACCTTTCTCTGAAAAGGACTTCATCCTAAACAACCAAGGTAGGTTTTGCTATCTGAAACAGCCTCGTTCAGAAGATGACAGACCAACCACTAGGAATTAACAAATGTCTCATGACTCTGCAAACCAAGCTCAGCTGATACTTCTTCAATCCTTTACTGCACAACAGACTGCTTCCATTCCCGTCTCCCCTCTTACTGTGTATATGGATTAATTTTGACAGGGTCATATTAGAGTCACGGACAGTCCTGATCCTGAAGGACCCTCACAAGGGAGCAGTACCATCCAACTACCGCCCAATAAACTGCCGCTGCACAACATGGAAGCTCCTGTCAGGCATCTTAGCAGCTAAAATGAGCAGGCATATGGTTCCATACATGAGCAGCGCCCAGAAAGGATTTGGTAGTAACATCAGAGGAGCAAAGCACCAGCTACTGGTTGATAAAGTAGTCACTCGAGACTGCAAGACCAGGCATACCAACCTGTGCACTGCCTGGATTGACTACAAGAAAGCCTATGCCTCAATGCCTCACACATGGATCCTGGAATGCTTGGAACTGTACAACATCAACAGGACTCTAAGAGTCTTCATCAAGAACTCAATGGGAATGTGGAAAACAATCTTCACTACCACTTCAAGCCAATTGCACAAGTCAACATCAAGTGCAGTATCTACCAAGGAGATACTCTGTCCCCCCTGCTGTTCTGCATAGGACTGAACCCCCTCAGCCGGTTATGGATACAGACTACAGAATGGAGCAACCATCAGCCACCTCCTCTACATGGATGACATCAAGCTGTATGCCAGAAGAAAACGAGACATCGACTCACTGATCCACACCACTAGGATCTACAGCCAGGACATCGGAATGTCATTCGGACTGGATAAGTGTGGTTGAATGGTAACAAGGAGAGGGAAGGTAGTCAGGACTTCTTTTTTTTTTAATTAAAGGAGCCCCTGTTTGGTGATCTCTTCCCACTATTTGCTATAAAAAGAGGCACTCCACTGAGATTGCATCATGAGCAGTACTGCTAAGCCTGGGTTTGAAAGATGTCTTCTATGGGTTTGAAGGCTTTCTAAAATCTAAAAACATGCTCCTGATGATGTCATAAGGGTTATCCTGGATGGGATAGAAAGGTCTTTTTGTTTGGGCCAGCCATTATTTGAATACTGACTTATAACTACAGACAGGCATAGATCAGGACAAAGCCAAAACCATTTCTAAAGCTGTGAAAGGTAGAAATTGAAATGAAAACTGCTAGATGGCATGATGACAGCTGTGATTAGAAGATGTGAGATGACATTATGAACCAAAGGTTGTGACATGTGGTCCTAGTCATAGACAGAGCTCCCCATAGAACACGGCTGCACCATGAGCATGAAAGCTGAAGTACAGTTCCTGGACATTGGCCACATGTTATCATGAATGCTGAAAAGGATCACACATGCACAGCAGCACACTTTCTTTAATGGGACACCATCCCCTTGAGAACAAGGTTTTCTGGAGCAGATGAAGGTTAGCACAGCTCACACGTGCCCGTCTTCTCACATGTATTTTTCAGAATGACACATATACAGTGCTCATCTCTCTTCAGCTGTACTGCTGTTTAAGAGCTTAATTCTTTTTCATCACATTTCATTTCCTTAAAAGAAACAAAAACAAAAAATGTATATGACTTAAGAGGCAAATTAAACACACAAATCATTTTCTGTGATGTCACATGACAAGTTCACTGCAGTCAGGAAGAAAATCTTGAACTAAAATGCCAACAACAAAAATTCTAAAAAACTCTGGACAAACCAATTTATAAATGATTTCTATTTAACTAATCTAACGTTTTGAATGCAGCAAGAGATGCTTTAAGATCCGTGACCTCTTAAAGGAATCCGTATGCAATATTAACACATGAAACAGAAATGGCAGTTACGTAGAATGACAGGGTGGCTTGTGGGATTTGCTTGGCATAGCATTTATTAGGAGGTGCTCACTGATTATTATTCAGCAGCCCTCAAAGGCACTACTGCAGCAACAAGAACAACCAGTGTAAGCTTCTTAACTACAAATACAATTTAGGCTAGGACTGGGGGCACTTCTCCGGATGAATAAAACCTTGGGTCTTTGCAGTAGCAGACAAGAATATTTGCCCCTGCAGCCAGCACTTTCTTTTCTCTGCTTTTAGTAATGTTTATTTAGTATTTGATGTTACCCTTACAGACTTTCTCAAATAAAAGCTAGTATTCAAATAATGTCAGCATCTCCAAAAACAGCTAGGGACATATCCACCAGCAACTAATGAAGGATGGGTAAAAAAATATTATGGACTGGCACTACCAGCTGGAAAAACAACAACAAACACAGGTTTATCTGTTGTCTGTTGAGTTTATTACATTTATTACTAAAAATTATTATATTTGCTTGTCCCTGTACAGCTTCAGTGTTACTGTTCTGTGTGTGTGTGTGTGTGTGTGTGTGTGTGTGTGTGTGTGTGTACCTGGATCTCCATGCCCTGGTCCAGCAGTCTCTTGGCTTGGTTCTCTACTTCCAGTCTGGCTCTGCTGATCAGCAGCAAGTCGTTCTCAATCACCTCAATGCCGTTCAGATCCACACCTTGTGACAGATAGTCTGGAGGATGTGAAAGGAATCATACAAAAACATAAACACACAAAAAGTAAAAACCAAATATCATTACATTTTCCATTGTTCAGCTTCTTTCATGTTTCCAAAGGTGTATAAATCCTGCAAGAAACATAACAGTTTCTGTTTCTGTTCAGTTTAATTAACAAGACTAAGAGTCTAGCTTTAATTACTGACTGTTTAATTCCCCCCACCTACAAAGCTTTATAAACCTGAGGACCCTGATCAGCCTTTGTAGATATAGTTCATAGGCTGAAAACACATGGAATAGTAGAATATTTTTGTGAAAACTATTATACAATTTTAGCTGATGTGTCAGAACCGGGTTGATTATAAATTTTTCAGGCAATTTGGAGGTGTGGTTAGTGTAGTTGTATTTTAATGCATTATATTTCTAGTGTTTCAATGAGGTCTCTCCATTTATATAGATAAAGGTGACAGAATATTAATGACACCACCACTAAGTCTCAAAAAATGACTAGAGTTGAGTTAACACTTTGTACATTCAGTGCAGTCTCTGAACATTTGGACATTCACACCTTTTTTCCCCGTTGTGTTGGCTCTGCACGGCATCACACTGGAACTGAGCGTTATGAATGTGAGCACCCACACCTTTGCTAAAAAGCTTATAGCAACTCAGTTATTGTTTCATTCATCCAACAGTAATTATGTCAATACTGTGAAATTATAAAAAAAATAAGTCTGAAAAGAAAAACATCCCTTAGACAAATAAAAAAAAAAAGGAAAAGGCTAAGGTGTTCAAAAATGAGTTGAGGTGAAGAAAAAAAAGAGAGTTAAGATTAATTTAATTTAATAATAAAGTATTAACTGACTGGGGATCAAGAAAACAAATTTTAAAACAGTTTAGCTTTAATAACTGACTAAAGGTTGCAAACAAAGATTTATACTTGATTTTAAACATTTATCTGACTAGATTATGTGGCCAGAGACTAAAGCTTTGAACCATCATCTGATCATACTATTTTCAAAGTACACAAGTAGTACTTCACATGACTGGAAAAAAAGTTCTAATCTAACATGAAAAGGGTCTTTCAGCCATTTTCAGAACAATGGCTCAGTCACTCACAAACTTTATCAACTCATCTCCACTGTGATTAAATTATCATATTTCTGTGGTTTAATTTGAATTAGTCAGCTTGACAGATTTGTCAGCAGGACTTGCTTCAAAGAAGCACATAGCACTTCTGACTGCGTGTTAAACATTTTAATTATGCTTTTGCCCCTGCATCGTTTGTCCACCCATCTGTTTTGGAAAGCTTGATAGTGGCAAAGGTAGAAATATTGACTGGTCTTGCAATCAAATCCTTTTTTGTGCTGATATAAGATTAAAATTGCTGCAACCCTGTCAATATGAGCAGTTTTGTCCAACAAAGGATGAGTGCCTTGAGCAAACACTTGGACTCTATGATGATTCTAACAACAGTGACAGTTAAAGAGATGCTCATTTTGAGACTCTACAGTCCTAACTTGTGTGGAAGGCTCATTCAGCAAGGCAAAAAGATGAGCATGTTGGAACACGCAGACACAGCTAAGATGTAGCAGATACCCCGCGTAACCCAGACAGGGCCACCGACAATTCACTGATGCCATCACAGTGCAGAAGAAAGTCTTGTGCACATAGGTCCAGGAACCTATGTGCACAACAAAATGTGCAATGCTTCTCACCTGGCTACATTTACAGATCCTGTAGACACCTTGCAGGATACAGACAAACAAACTGACACTCCTGAGTTACCGGACTCTCCTAGGCCTGAAGGCACTACACGTCAGCCTGCTTGGTTAAAAGACTATGTGGCTTAAATACATAGACCTTGGGTAAAACATGTACATGCTTGGTTAAAAGACTATGTGGCTTAAGTACATAGACCTTGGGTAAAACATGTAAGGACTCTGTTTTGAAGTTGTGTTACAGTGTAAAGTGTTACTGTGCTAATATGTTCTTGTACTAATTATGTTAAACTGCAGGGAGGGTACAGAAAAAGCTTTTTCTACAAAAGGGGAAATGCTGTGTTCTATACATTATATTGTTCTGCTTGCTGTTCTGCTTACTGCCACTAGAGACACTGTTGCTGCTACGGGATATCCTATCTGGGTTCACAGGTATACTGTTGTCTTCCTGTTGTTCCTGTTATACTGCCATGCCACTGATGATCCAATAAATAGTTTTTATTAATCCGAATCATCCTGCCTGATTACTGGCATAAATTTTTCCAAGTATTTGCAGCTTTCGGAGAGCCATATGTTTTGATAAAGCAGGAAGAGAAAGGTACGAGGAAAGCAGCTTCCAATTATGAGAGGAGAGGCGCAGACATGTGGGGACTGATATCAAACCATTTCGGATGCACTATTTGTCTAGAACGACAGATTGTTTGCCCTTCTTCCAAAGAAAGAGATGGAAAGTATTATCAGGCAGGTGGCGGGCTGAGGCACAGAATACTGGGGAATTGGACAGGAGATGCGTTCAATTCAAAAGCAATCCGCTCGAAGCCTTAGCCCAAGTACAAAGGCTGCCAGAGACCATGATGGAACAGCTGAGCCTCTTTCTTTAGATGTGTGTGTTTGAGAGAGCGAGACAGAGGGGAAAAGAGAGAGGCTGGTCTTTTCAAACTTGTGTCATAATACGCTGACTGATATGCCATTCTTGAAGCCACACACGGCCTAATGCAGACATCACAGGCCATTGGATATTACGTGTTGGTTCCCTGAGGATAATTTGTGCTTTGGCACAGATGTGCCCTGTTTTCTGTGCTGGGGGAATTCACTCAGCTCATTCTTCACAGGACAACAAGATGGACATCACCAATAAACAAAGTTTCCACACATAAAAATTTGCTTTACAACACTGGAATTTATCTCAGTGTACCCCCCCTCTTCAGCATCACCCTGGTGATGGAGATTATCAGCAGTCTGGGTTGCACATGGGAACAGGCAACAGTGAGGAATCTGCTTCCCGCTTATCAGAGCATATTGAACAGTCAGGAAGTAATTATCATTGAGCTGAGGGGTATTTCATGAAGGAGGCCAAACACAGCAGCTTATCAATCCAAGGCTTGCTCCAATAAGCATTACAACATACTTTGGATCGGATCAGTTTCAGTAAGCTCATTTGTGAATGAACTTTATTTGGAATTAATGAAGTCAGGCCTGTGCTTTCAAATAATTTTTCACCCACAAAAAGTATAAAGTATAAGAAGTTAAAATTTAAACAGTCAATGACTGGAAAAAGTACAGAAGGCACACAACAATGTGCAACAGTCACAGCAACATTTCAGCCATGTTTTTTTTTAGTATGAGAGACTTATTGATTGTAGGCTTGAAAGGTTTGTAGCTTGCTCCTTTGTGGATGATGGCAGCTGTAGTCAGGCCAGCTACAGTTCTTACAAATAATCCTAGAATGACAAGCGGTGAATAAAACTACCAGAACATCGATAAAAACTTCTCATATCTCCCCAGCACTCTAATAAACTTCTCGGCTGTCCATCTGTATGCTTACTATGATCCACTTAAAAGCTCCGTCCATCTACAGTACGTATAAACCTAAGTGCAGGAACATCATGCTTACAGCTAATAAAATGATACAAAATAAGTTTTTCATTTCACAGTGAATCTATATATATTTATATAGATTATACATCATATGTTTAATATTTTCACAGCAATGATGTGTGATATTTACACTACCAGTCAAAGGTTTCGACACACTTTCACACTGAATGAAATGGGAAAGTGTGTCCAAACCTTTGACTGGTAGTGTACATTTATTGTGTTGAAATTGTGAAACGTCGAAGGGACGTATTTCATCTGTTTTACATTGGAGAGCTAGAACTGAAAGTGAATATTCAAGAAAGAGCTCCTTTGCTGGGCACAGATTGACTAGTGAAGCCAATACATTTTTTTTAATGTGAGGATTTTAAACAGGTGCATTTAAAAGATGCAAGGCAATAAAAACAAAACAGAGAAAATGGAATGACTTTTTTTCTCCAGTATTTCCTTCACTGTTTGCACAAGTGCTAAAATGGTAATGGATACAATTTTTGTCCACTTGGTTGATTAAAAAGGAGATGAACAGCAACACAAAGCACACCGCTGTCACAACAAGAAATTTTATGCAGGAAGTTCTATTTTTTTTTTCTTTTTTTACTTTCAAGAAGAAGGATGTCTGAAACAACTTCTTGAACATAGCGCATATAAAGAAGACAGAGGCTGTGCAACTGCCAGGCTGCAGTGTATCACAACTATTGTAAACAAAGATGAGGCCGGGTGTGCATTTGCTTAAAGGCCCTCTGACGTACATAAAGTTAAATCTGGAAATCAGAAAGAGACAAAACAAGAACTGGGTATTTATCCATTTCTGATGTTTATCCCCACTCACTATTACAACTTCTACTATTCCCTCAAACAGGTTATTGTCATATTAAACAAGCATTTTACACAAACTCAGTCTCCCATAAAAAGTCACCGCTTAGAATTAACTGAACATTTGCAACTCTTCAGTGTTAAAAGCAGAAACAACTAATCTCAATCAACAATCAGGTGACATTACTACAGATAGCAGACACTGATTCACTCTGTCTGAGCTTTAATAGTACCATCTGTGTCAACAGGTTTGTTGTACTGCAAACATACAATTTCTGTCTCTGTTCCACAATTAACAACTGTAAAACAAATTCCTGAGAGCATAATAGTGGGTCTACATAAAAATATAGACTTTTCTGTTCTTTTGTTTGTTCACTTCAACAGTGAAGTGAAGAAATGTTAGGTGCACCAGCAGTACAGATTTAAAGGATACCTAAAAGTTGGACACTTTCCACCTCTTCTTTTCACTGGCTATACTTTTATTCTAGCATAGCAACTTCTTTCATTATCAGCCAATGTACTAGCTACATTAATGAGTCAACAAGTCTAAAGATTTGTCCTTAAACTTACATAGTATAATCAAAAGCCAACAAATACAAAAGCCCTGTCTCAACCAAAGGAACTACAGGAGACTATAGGAACCTTTTTTGTAACTTGTGTCCTCTACCTGTGTTTCCATAAGGAAAATCAGGGTCATAATTTAGTTCAGGGGTGTAGCTCCAGTCAAAAAGCAGTACTTTCTGAAGGTCCAATAACTATCAGGACAAGGCCTACAGTGCTGAATGTCCCTAACTGGTCAAATACTGCACAGCACTTTATACTCAGCATTCATTCTTAAGACCCCGTATGTAAGAAGTAAAATTCTGCCTACGTTTAACACATACCAACGGTGGAGGACAGACTGCAGGCAAACATGAGATAACCAATTTTCTTCAAGTTTATGCTCATTAACAGGTTTTTTTTTTTTATCTCACTGAGGTCTTATTACATGTACAGTAACGAGCACAGGGTTTGTTAACTCTGAGTAAGGTTTAATTTCAGCTGATGTCATGCACTCGTTCGCAGCCATATTTTCCAATCCACTAATCTCACTCACTGGTCTTTCTCTACGGGCCTACTGAGTTCTTACAAACTGAGAACCCAGGAAACGTGGAGTCAGTTGCATCCAACCCATCCACCCAAACTATTTTTCACATTGACGCACTGATTTTTACTCGCATACGTAAGTCGAATGCTTGCAATGTAGAGCCCTGCATTTGACCGAGTTAGTGACGTTCAGCACAGCAGACCTCCCCTTGATAGTTTGTGGACCAAAAAATACTACCCTCCACCCCCATCCTGCCTCCCAGAACTCAATTTACGATGGTTCCTCAGGTAGAGGTAGGCAGAGGAACTTTGTTCCCTGGGGAAAGTTCCTCTGGTGGAAATGAGACTTAATTTCTCTAATCTTCACAAAGCTTTGGCCCTGCTGTGGAACTCAAATCACAATATACTCCAGTGACTTTTATGAAAAGGAACATCCTGAGAAACAAAGGTACGAGGAACTTTGTGGTGAAAACACATGTAATAGTGTTCATATAATATTAGTATGAAACGTGTTTTTCACTGATGTGTTTTTAATCATTTTTGAACAACAAAGGAGGTCTGGGGCACAGGCTAATAAGCTAATCCATTTTAGAGACTGACACGTCTCAACCGTGAATAGAGGCAATTCACTGTTGGTTTTAGTCACTATGTGGGGAGTGTTGAAAATACTAATAATATAGAAAATGCCCGACCTTATCCTGCAAGCACAAAGTCCATAAATACCGTACAAAGCACACGCAAACACTACCATGCACTTCACTTGCATCTCTGTTTGACATAGTTGGGGAATAAACAATAACAACTAGTTGCCTTTAGGACTGCCAGTAGACAGCCTAGAAATCAGGTTGCAATATTAATGGATTCAAACATTTATGGAGAACTCTTTTGTGCTCACATCATTTTTAGGTGTGAAACTACCCTCACACATTATGCACACTTGATCAGAAGAAAAGTCTGCAAGTGTCTCTTTTCTTGCTCTATATAACGCTGCTGTCTGCCATCTACAGTATCTTTCTCTCACTAAGGACTTGTATCCGGGGAAAACATGCCTCCCACTGAGTTGCGCATGTCAGTAAAACAGTCGGACTGGAAACCATCATCTTTGCTTACACTCCTTGAATAAACAGTCAAAGAGTGGGAGATGAAAACCAAAGATACAATGACCAGATCAGGGAGATGTGAAAAATCAGGACTTTTTGCTTTAACAGTGGATAATAGTATATCCCAGAAGACAACAGACTGACCCTGATTTGAATTCTGATCTATCGGTCTGTGTTCGCTTTGGCCAGCAGTGCTGTTGTTGCCATGCCAATGCCAAGTAGTACTAATTAGTCCTCTCACTGGCTACCTTGCTGAAATGCTCATCAGGCAATAAGGCTCACATGGCGACAGCTCCAATGGTAGTCAGATTGAGATAATCAAGCATGTACCATTTGGCAGGTGCTATGCAAACACAAACAACTGAGGCGTGGCCAAAGTCCTGAGAGGAAGGATGCTGCCATTAGTACTGTCATGGTCACCATTTACTATCTGGAAACCCTTGCCCTCTAATGAAGGCAAACAACTTATGGAGAGATGGTTCACTGAAAGAGAGAAAGAACTCAAAGACAAAAAAGAAAAAGAGCTGTAGTTACAGTACAGGCAGTACAAAAGAAAAATGATACAAGAAAAACACACAAAAAAAAGTGTGTTTCATCTCCTTTCTGAGTCCAAACAGTCAAGTGCAGAGGTGTAAAAGGGGAAAAAAGGAGAATACAGCTTCAGAAACGGAGGAAGGAGGGGGAGGGAGCGATGGATAAGTAGGAAGGGCTACTGAAGGCAGAGAGAGAGAGAGAGAGCGAGGCAGGAAGCAGGACACAGAGACACACCGACAGAAAAAGCAGAGACAACAGACAGCAGAGAGGAGAGAGGGGGAGGCAGAGCAGCAGTGTCAGTATCGTTCTCAGTCCCTCCATGCTTTGCAGCTGCATGTTTTCTACCAGTCAAATTTCCATCCTGAAGGGACTCAACTGTGTGGCGCAAGACCTTGAATGATGGACTACTAAGAAAATCCTCAACTACTCGAGCTTGTCACCTGTGAGTACTGCTCCACCTTTGGGGATTGAGATTACAAAGCACTACAAGAAAGGACGGCTCTCCAACAGACCCAAGGATCACTGAGGAATGGTCTTTGTCTTGAGGTAAAGGAATACACAGCACAATCATATACTGACAGCAGTGTCAGTGTGCTGACACCAAGGCAATGTAAATGTGTTGCACGAAGGCATTGTAAAATCAACACATTCAGCTCTAGATAAACACACAGCATGGTGACATGTTGTTGAGCCCGACAGTCACGATTTTCCAGCAGTGATTATTTTGAGAAGAATAATTAGACTAAATAAGTGGCTGTCAGACTGCAAGAAACATGAGTCTTCAGAAGCTAAGCTGAGTTCACAGCCTCCCCAAGAGACCAGCTCTCCTACTGTAGGAAAGCGCATACAATTAATTGCAGCTTAACGAAAAGATGAGCAGACAAAATGTGCATTACAACATCCAGCCAAAAATTAAGTTTAAATAAAGAAGCAATTTTGCATATGTTGTGAGGTTAGAAATATTGTCAAGAGCACAGAGTGTTGCAGCTGAAGGTCAAGAACAAGTCGGTGATGGTTTAGAGAAAATGTAGCTCTGTTAAAGAAACTACTGAGGCTGCACCCAACAATTACTTTCATTATTATTTTTTTTTTTTTTCAATTTAACATATCAGTTGTTTAGACTAAATATTTAAAATACCCGTCCCATCACATTTCTCCATTTTCTCCAATTACTGTGTTTTGTCTAGTCAACAGTGAAAATGCCACAGACATTTCATTTATAATGACCTTAAAGAGAGAGGTGGGGCATACCCTCATGTTTCAGAAGTTGAATTGATTTAACGCCTGACATTTTGCTAAGTTAATGACAAATGATTACCAGATTACTAAAACTGTTGCTGATTGTTATTTTTCTTGCTAATGGATTAACTGACTAATCCTTCCCCTCTCTGATATGATGCCTTGCTCACATCTATGCATCACTTTAGAAATATACTGTATGTAAATTGTGCCTAAGCCAGTTCTGCCAACTGGGCATTTTGCCAGAAACTGGTAGGAGTGTTGACAGTAGTAGGCGCTCCATCGGATTGTATTCGATTGGCTGGTTGAGTTTATGTACAAGTTTTGCGTGGTTAAGGTTAAGGTAAGCCCACTTCTGTCAACATGTCCCGCACTCCAACGCCATGATTTAGCTGCATTGCATCTTCCTTTGTCAAGCTTACTGTTCAATACAGTAGAATCAACTACTGTAAAATGTGGAAAATGTGGCACCTGATCTGAGTAACAGCATATGGAGAGCATCCATAGCCACTGTAAATTGGTTAGTTTTAAAATACTCCACAATACAGAGGCTAAAGTAACAATACAATGTAGTAGAATTTATCTGTTTGGTATTAATCGTGTGTCATATAATTACATGTGGAATAAACCATTTTAATTGTTTGACAAAAAATACAACTTATTAATTTGCTCAAAATATGCTGGATCCTTGCATTTTAGACTCCATTAAGACTTGGTTTTTAAATGTGTCTTGGGCGCTACATACAAGTGTTAATGACCACCAAGACAAATTGTGATCCAGTCACTCAGACCTTCTGCCGTGGTGGTCTGGGACACATTTGATTACATCCCCATGTATTGTGACAGCTTTCATAATACATCCATCCATGTACAAATCTGGTGCTTGTCGTCTTCTTTATTTACGGAGACTACTGACTTACTGAAACAGTGTGTGTGGCCCGTTGTTGTGACAGTCGAGCAGTATATCAATTCATGCCCCAGTCTGCAGAGAACCAGTTAATAGTTTTCAGCACTCATTTGCTGAACACCACATGACGAAAACCATCAAAGACAAAAGGCAAGGCATCAAAAACTGATTAAACAAACACTCGGCACACACAAAAGCACGAGCGCAAACACTCACAGACACAGCATCCAATTAGCACAGAAAGAGCAAGCTATCTGTCAGGATATGATAGATGAGCTGAAATTATGTGGTGAACGTGATGCAATCGGCAGACCAGAGGGAAATGATTTGATTGCAATGAGACATTTTTATTTTATACTATGTTACTGACTTTTTCCATCCCTCTTCTTTTCCATGCAGGATCAAAGATGGAAAGTAATGGCGGATGACTAGGACGATGACAAAGGAGCATGACATTATTTCCTGCTTCAGTCAATTCCTCTCTCGCAGTCTGTGAAGAATACAGTGGCAATAAGAATGCTGTGGATGTCCAAAAGTCAAAGTCTCTTTGAGTGATCTCCAAAGACTATATATGACCAATGTCCACATCGCTGGACTCTGCCCCTCTTGGATCACAGGGATGTTAAAAGTTTAACTGGGTCCGGTCCTTTGGAACAACCACACAAGCTTGTTTTTTTCTTTCTCTTGGGACCTTCCCTCCAGTCTGTCATCTCAACTTTCGCCCCTCACTGTTCTCCGGAATATAAATTGCAAAGCTGACATGGTCTGACACAAGGTATTACGGACCATATCAGGATGTGATTTATATCCAGAGAAATACCAAAACAAGTGTGAATATACAATTTCTGAAAAGTGGAGAGTTGTGGAGAGAGAAGGATTATTCTGGCACTGGCACCATTTTCAGGCGAGGATGACACTGGAGGAAACGATCCAAGCGCAACGGACAATGACAAGAAAGAGCTTTGAATAAAAGAAAGCATTGATCTTAGTGCACCGCACTTATATTGCAAACCACATGCCCCCCCCAACAAGGGGTGGGTGTGTGTTGCTTACTGTGTTTCACAAACAGACTTTTCTCATTGTCTGAGTGGAGCCAGTATCCCAAAGCTAACGCACACAAAGACTTCTCATTGTCAAATATCAAATTTCACTATGTTCACAGAAATAATACTGGAAATGCAAATGAAAGTCAATAGACTGAAGACTGACCTTGTCAGGTCAGAATATGGTGGGATGTTTTAATGTGCTCCAGCAAGTTCTTCGTGGCCACTTCGATTGCTGCTGAGCAGGAGAGGATACTGCTGGGAGGGATTGGTGAGTTAAAGCCTGATATCACATCTGTTTTCTTTAGTCGAAACCCTAAGAGCCCCAAAGTCCATAAAACATATATTCCAGTATTCTTGTACTTGGTTTGTTTAGGCTGAGCAAGCAAACCAGGACACTCAAATGGCCTGTTTGCCTGGTAGATTCTCTTAACTTTTGAGGTTTCTGAAGCAGTGACAAAAAGAGAGATGAACCCATGTTCAGCTCATGACTCTAACCATAACCCAACCCTCATTGCCTATTTACAGTACATTATTCAAGTTCACTCGTCTGGTGACAGTCAAGTCATTGTTTGAAAAAAAAAATGGTTTGGTACAAGTTAATATACCATGGTTTACTTTTTAACAAGACTGTTCATGTGCAAACTGCTCTCCAGGCCTCTTCCTCACATCAGGATAATGCACACATCCCCAGTGCTAATCTCTGCAGCCACCATGAGCAACATGACAGTGCTTGACACTGCTGATCCCTATGACCTTGACATGACTTCCTCTGAGGCCATCTACCCCATTAGTTTCCAGGTACTGCTAAAGTCTCGTACAAACTTACTAGGTTGCCTTTTCTGTCAAATCACTGTGACATGATAGCGTAATATTTGCTGCAATTCAAGAGTTCCCTTATTTGACATTTTTAGGAAACTGGTAAACGGATTGGAAAATTAAATGTTAGATACATAAAATCCACATTGTTCTGTATATTAGAAAAATTATTTGTTATATAAAATAAACAAAATCATGTCTGGCATCATTTTCACCATGTTCTTTATGCTTCTAGGTTTCTTTGACAGGCTTCCTGATTTTAGAAATAGTTTTGGGCCTGAGCTCCAACCTCACTGTGCTAGTCCTCTACTGTATGAAACAGAATCTCATCAGCTCTGTTTCCAACATCATTACCATGAACCTGCATGTGGTGGATGTGTTGGTGAGTCACAGTCACTGATCCATTACTTTTCAGCAAACAGCGATTTATAGTGACACTATGCAACTTTTACTAAACAGCAGCAACAACTGCCTCTGTTGCCACAAGTAACAATTGTTGGGCAGGACATACTGTAGGTACATCAAGCCAACATACAACTAACCTGATTACATTCGACAAAAACATCTGAACTCACAACAGCTGTATGCGGCAAAATAACTGCTAGGAGCTAGCTTTATGCTGGCTTAGTGACGGACAATAGGGGTGACATCCCATGTCACAGCAATGGGCATCTGCTGAGTTACCCAACATGTGAACATGTTCCACAAATGCTATAATTCATATCATCTTCACACCTGTGAAAATACAGTCTGGTGGCTGCTAGTATGCAGCTTAGCGCTGCTGTCTGTGTTTAATGTTGCAAATTCTCAATGATGTTTATTAATAATGTATGTATTTCAGTTCTATTTATAAGTTACAAATACAGTCTGAAGGCTGGCAGTGTGGAACTTAGCTCTGATTCCCAACGCCCAGGCCACCATGTGGTATCGTTGGCTGCTGGGCTGAAAAGATGTTATCTGACAAGAACTCCCTGCTGTGAAGAGATGATGCATGTAAATGCAAATTCAGTTCAGCAACCTCTCATCTGCTTGTTTTTTGTTTTTGATGTTTGGTTGTTTTTTTTTTTTGTTGAGGATTTAAGCTGAACTTCCACTCTGTCTATCAACCTTACTGCCCCTCCCAACAACAGTTGCTTATATTTCTCAAATGGTTTAACCAGCAAAAAGAAAGACTGACTAAAATAAAATAAAAAAAGAGAGCTGTCAGAAGTCAGGAATCAGAAGTTTAAAACTGATTTTTTTTTACCAATCCACAGATGTCATGCTAAGAAATTCTTGGTTTGGCAAGTCAGTTAGGATGTACTTTATGCATGACAGGCCATTTTTCCAATTGTTTACAGATAAATTATTTCACGTATAATTCACTATATCACAATTCCAGTGGGTCAGAAGTTTACATACACTCAAATTGACTGTGCCTTTAAACAGCTTGGAAATTTTCAGAAAATGATGTCATGACTTCAGAAGCTTCTGATTGGCTAATTGACATCATTTGAGTCAATAGGAGGTGCAGCTGTGGATGTATTTTAAGACCTATCTTCAAACTCGGTACCTTTTTGTTTGACATCAGGGGAAAATCAAAAGAAATCAGCCAAAACCTCAGGAAAAAAGTGGCCCCTCCACAAGTCTGGTTTATTATAGGCAGCAATATCCAAACACCTGAAGGTACCATGTTCACCTGTATATTGTGGGGGTGCTTTGCTGCAGGAGGGACTGGGGCACTTCACAAAATAGATGGCATCATGAGGAAGGAAGATTATGTGGATATATTGAAGCAACATCTCAAGAGATCAGGTTGAAAGTTGAAGCTTGGCTGCAAATGGGTCTTCCAAATAAACAATGACCCTAAGCAGACTTCCAAAGTTGTGGCAAAATGGCTTAAGGACAACAAAGTCAAGGTAATGGAGTGGCCATCACAAAGCCCTGACCACGATCCAATAGAAAATTTGTGGGCAGAACTGAAACTTGTTGAAGACATCCTGAAATGTTTGACCTAAGTTACATAATTTAAAGAAAATGGTACCAAATACTAACGGAATGTGTAAACCTCTGACCCACTGGAAATGTGATGAAAGAAATAAAAGCTGAAATAAATATTTCTCTCAACTATTAATCTGACATTTCAAATTCTTAATAGACAGGGAATTTTTATAGGATTAAATGTCAGGAGTTGTGAAAAACTGAGTTTAATTTGGCTAAGGTGTATGTAAACTTCTGACTTCAACTATACCTTCCATCAGTTGCTAATATTGATCATAAACACGACAGATTTTTTGAGAAAAAGCACAAATTTGTTACTGAGTGGTGAATTCACTTTTGAATGATAAAGTCTAAGTAAGCTTAACTTTGTGTTTCACACTTTTTTTTATTTTACTTCCATCTGTATGCATTGCCTTTCTCACTGGGACTCTTTCTTTGTCACTCTCTCTCCTAATGCTGTCTGTGGTTCATTAGGACAGCTGTAATGTCAAAAAGCTCAAGATAAAATTGTGAGTTTGCTTAGTGGAATTAATTGAGTGAACCTATTTTACTTACTTTTGCAACATATCTTGCAAAATGCATTTTTTGTCAAAGTCCCTCTCCAGTGAAAAATGTTTTTTGATTATAACTTCATTGTGGTGGACTAAATGTGCAGTTTGTTTTTTCACATTCATCTTCTGAATCCCTGACTTTAGTCATTCATCAAAGAGGCTGATATACTGTATGAAAGATGACAAAGAAACTTGCTGTGGCTATTTACATATGCATTATATCCAGATACAAGTTACAGATACAGAAGCATGTGTAAATGGGGTGAGAGAATCAAACAGTGGTGCAAAATTGATGAAATTCCACAATACAACTTTTGATCTGGTTAAATTTCAAGTGTTAGTGTGACCAGGCTATAAATTTAATAGGTTAAAGGTTAAGGCCATTTGGCCTTTCATGTTAAACATTTTTGGCTGGGCAGTAAGGCTGAGCAACAAATGGATGTTGTATGTACATGAGCACATGGTAATTTTTAAAACATGCAGTTACCTTTCTTAACTTCTCTCATTGTACTATTAATAGGTTTGTTGATAAAGCGGTCCTCTAACTTTAATTAAAAAAACAAATCTAAATAAATTTTAGAAAACAACTGTACCATGAAAACTTCCAAAATAAATCTACATAAACATTTATAATTCTCTAATATAATTACCTGTCTGAACCACAAGTCACTACTTACTAAGAAATTTAGTAATATAGTCCTGTTTATTTTAAAACTTGTGTGTTATTGCATGGAAAGTTGCTACTGTATTGGAGGTTGCTGATGAGAGAGAGGCTGCTGAACGAAGGTGCATTCCAGCCAGTTGTTGAGGATTAATGATCCAACACCAAATCCACATACAATAACTACATACAGTGGATATAAAAAGTCTACACACCCCTATTAAAATGCCAGGTTTCTGTGATGTAAAAAGAACTTTAGCCACCTTTAATGTGACCTATAACTTGTACAACTCAATTGAAAACAAACTGAAATCTTTTTTTCAGTGAGAAGTAAAAATAAAAAACTAAAGCAATGTGGTTGCATTAGTGTGCACACCCTTAAACTAATATTTTGTTGAAGCACCTTTTGATTTTATTACAGCACTCAGTCTTTTTGGGTATGAGTTTATCAGCAATGCACATCTTGACTCTGCAATATTTGCCCACTCTTCTTTGCAAAAACGCTCCAAATCTGTCAGATTGCGAGGGCATCTCCTATGCACAGCCCTCTTCAGATCACCCCACAGATGTTCAATCGGATTCAAGTCCGGGCTCTGACTGGGCCATTCTAAGACTTTTATCTTGTTCTGGTTAAGCCATTCCTTTGTTGATTTGGATGTATGCTTGGGGTCATTGTCGTGCTGAAAGATGAAGTTCCTCTTCATCTTCAGCTTTCTAGCAGAAGCCTGAAGGTTTTGTGCCAATATTGACTGGTATGTGGAACTGTTCATAATTCCCTCCACCTTGACTAAGGCCCCAGTTCCAGCTGAAGAAAAACAACCCCAAAGCATGATGCTGCCACCACCATGCTTCACTGTGGGTATGGTGTTCTTTTGGTGATGTGCAGTGTTGTTTTTGCGCCAAACATACCTTTTGGAATTATGGCCAAAAAGTTCAACCTTGGTTTCATCAGACCATAGCACCTTTTCCCACATGCCTTTGGGAGACTTCAAATGTGTGTTTGCAAAATGTAACCGGGCATGGATATTTTTCTTTGTAAGAAAAGGCTTCCGTCTTGCCACTCTACCCCATAGCCCAGACAAATGAAGAATACGGGAGATTGTCGTCACATGTACTACACAACCAGTACTTGCCAGGAATTCCTGCAGCTCCTTTAATGTTGCTGTAGGCCTCTTGGCAGCCTCCCTGACCAGTTTTCTCCTTGTCTTTTCATCAATTTTGGAGGGACGTCCAGCTCTTGGTAATGTCACTGTTGCACCATATTTTCTCCACTTGATGATGACTGACTTCACTGTGTTCCATGGTATATCTAATGCCTTGGAAATTCTTTTGTACCCTTCTCCTGACTGATACCTTTTAACAATGAGATCCCTCTGATGCTTTGGAAGTTCTCTGCAGACTATGGCTTTTGCTGTAGGATGCAACTAGGAAAATGTCAGGAATAGCCTACTGGAACAGCTGAACTTTATATGGGGTTAATCAGAGGCACTTTAATTGATGGCAGGTGTACTGAGTCCTATTTAACATGAGTTTGAATGTGACTGCTTAATTCTGACAACAGTCACAGCCCCACAGTAAGAGGGTGTGCACACTAATGCAACCACATTATTTTAGTTTTTTATTTTTACTTCCCACTGAAAAACAGATTTCAGTTTGTTTTCAATTGAGTTGTACAAGTTATAGGTCACATTAAAGGTGGCTAAAGTTCTGAAATTATTTATCTTGGTCTCGTTTTTTTACATCACAGAAACCTGGCATTTTAACAGGGGTGTGTAGACTTTTTATATCCACTGTATAGCCGCACAAAAACACACACATGAAAGCAGCTAATTCATCATGATAAACAAAAAAAAATATGTTGCACAGGTCCTAAATTTATACGGAGCATAGCAACTGCATACAATTATTTTTAGCAAAACTTCACTGATTTCATACATACCACAAATAAATTGTACACGTCTATTTCCTGTAAACTTCACCAAAATGAGATTGAAAAACATTTTGCTTAATAGCCAAATTAAGTCATGCTAAAGCTACTACCAAGATGCCGTTTGAGTTTTTAAGCTAACTATGTAGCCAGTAATTCCTCAGCAATTCAGCTGGGTCTGACAGTAATGAAGTGACATAATCATATCAGCTCTTTAGAATCAACATACAATACAGAGGATGTGTTATAATTGGTCAGATGATAAGATGTATTTGGAATGTGACCCGAAGTTCTTTCTGTTTCCAGGTGTGTGTATGCTGTATCCCATTGACAGTCGTCGTGGTGCTACTTCCTTTGGAGGCAGACAGAGCCATGATCTGCTGTTTCCATGAGGCCTGCGTCTCTTTTGCAAGCGTAGCTACTGCTGCTAATGTTCTGGCCATCACTGTGGACCGCTATGACATCTCAGTGAGGCCAGCGAACCGTGTACTTACGATGGGCCGAGCTGTGGCTCTACTGGGATCCATTTGGACTTTATCCTTTTTCAGCTTCCTGGTTCCGTTCATGGAAGTGGGCTTCTTCATTAACTCAGGTTCAGACCTTGTGAACCAGACTGCAATAGTTACAGTGGCTCATACAAATGAGTACTACACAGAGTTAGGTTTGTACTATCACCTGCTAGCACAAATCCCTATTTTCTTTTTTACAGCAATGGTAATGCTGGTAACTTACTACAAGATCCTTCAGGCACTTAACATTCGGATTGGAACACGCTTTCAGCACAACCTACCTAAAAAAAAGCAAAAGAGTAAAAACACCATCTCTTTGAGCACTGCAACACATGCAGAGTCGACTGACGCTTCACAGAGCAGCACAGGAGTCAGGGCAGGTGGGACTGCACCTTTGGGCATGAGGGCTTCAGTGTCAGTCATTATTGCTCTAAGAAGAGCAGTGAAGCGCCATCGAGAAAGACGAGAGAGGCAGAAACGAGTCTTCAGGATGTCTCTTCTTATCATCTCCACATTTCTACTTTGCTGGACTCCAATAACTGTGCTTAACACCATCATCCTCAGCACTGGGCTCAATGATTTGACTGCACGCCTCCGCTTGGGCTTCCTAGTAATGGCCTATGGAACCACGATCTTTCACCCACTCCTCTATGCCTTCACTCGGCAGAAGTTCCAAAAGGTTTTGAAGAGCAAGATGAAGAAGAGGGTGGTGTCTGTGGTTGAAGCTGACCCTACACCTAACAATGTGGTCATCCACAACTCATGGATTGACCCCAGGAGAAACAAGAAGGTCACCTTCGAGGACACAGAGGCCAGACAAAAATGTCTGTGCTCACAAGATGCAGAGTAAAGGGATTAACCCAAATGTAAATATGTCAAATATGTAGTCTAAATGAGAGCTGGTTACAGGCATAACAGAGAGCAACAGACTATAGCAGAAAAAAAATATGAATGAGGGAGATAAGACTAATGTTTATACAAATAAAGAGGAGGAAAGTATTTAAAAAAAAAAAGAACATGGATCAAAGTGAGTGAGTCTAAACCAGCTAAACTGAAGTGAGCTTACTAACAGTAGAGTACATCCATCTTGGGCAGCTTACTAAATGATGATCACATCAAAGATATGTTCCCTGAGGAATAAAGAGATTAAGGTGTGGGGTTTCCTTAATATAAACATCACACATTAAAAAGGGAAACTACTAGCAGTGGAATGTGTGTGAGTCCAAGGAGCGCATTTATAATTCATTTTATTCATAGTCACATGAAAAGGGTTATTTATTGCTTTTACTATGGAATGTCGTGGAGTGCTATCAAGGATAATGCAGTCTAACCAGCAGTGCATGTTGTTCTCTGGTTAGCGTAATGAGACAAATATCCATGTACAGTCACAGAATACCTTGATATTGTTTGTCACCATTTGTAATAAACGGCAAAGGGTACATAGAATATGTGTCAGTATCCCTCTGATATCCTGCTTCTTCATGTGGAAGTAGACACACAAACAGAACACGTTCGGCCACTGGGGGTCAAAGACTGACATATGAGATTTAGTTTCTCTTTCACTTTCCTCTAAAAGGAAATGTCATCTAGTGAAGAAGTAGTAAGGTCAGCCTTTAAAATCTATTGTTAAAACGAAGGTCACTGTGTGTTTAGAGAATGTGTTTGTGTTTGCAACAATAATGCATTAATTACAAGCATACAAAGGGAAAGAAGTACACCCCATTTCTCCTCCCAATACAATTTACTTGTTTAAAACAAAGTTACCAATTCACAACACCTCAATAAACTACACTTGTGCTATTTTAAGGTGAGCTGTACTGATAAATTATGAATGGCATTATTTTGGAAAGCATCCTCACTTTTAGTGCTTAAAACATTTGCACAATACTATAATTATTTATTTAAATTTGTAAACTTGTTTTCAATTTCTCAGAACAACTGGTATTTGTATTTGGTCTAAATTTGGTTCACTTAAGATCAAGATGTTGGCATGATAACATCCTTACAATGACAATGCTAATATAATGTTGTCAAATAGATACCTCACCCTGTTCACCACCTTATTTTAGCATGTTAGCATTCTAACAATTTCTAATAAACCATGACAAACAAGTCATTTCAGTGTGTGTACCACATTTCATGGTAATCTACCCAACAGCTGTTGAGACACTGCACTCAATTCTACAGGTCAACCTCACGGTGGCACTCATAATCAGGAATCATAAGAGGATCACCCACACAGAATTACAATCTATCCTCTGGGGACCACAAATGTCTTTTTTTTTTTATTTTTTTTTTTTTTTCTATAAAATCTCAACAAAATCCATCCAATAGTTGCTGAGATACTTCAGCCTGATCCAAAGTGGTGGACCATCCTTAGAGCCATGCCAGCATGGCTAATAACCCCAGACCAAAGTACACACAAGTTTGTACCCATAACCGTGCATCCTTCATCTAGTGTCCATAATGTGCATTTTATTAAATAATTTTCAACTGCGTTATCACAAGAGATAGAAATAGAACCCAAAAACAATTCCCGAGATGACACTCTTTAACCCCACTGAAGGGGTTCCATTACTCTACAGTATGAACTATAACTAAACACAAAGCAGCAAAGCCCACTTGAGATAAAGTTGGAACTGATGGACAACAACCAACTGGCACAGCAGAGGCCAGAAGCTGAGACTGGCTCACCTACAAAATTTTGCTGCTGTACTGGAGAACACCAAGGGCACTGACCCCATTTAAAAGCTCTTCGCAGCCAATGGAATGTGTGCAAGCTTGTGTGTGGTTATGTATGTGGTATGAGAAGTGGTCATCAGGCATAGGCTGCTAAAAACACTAGGCCTTGTGAACCCGCTCTGTCACGCTTAATGCCTTGTGATAACTAAGTGGCGCTTAGATAACTAGTGGCAGTGACATGCAATGTATTATCACTTTTTCTCTGCTGACACCAGAAGGTCACAGTTCTCTGAACTGATTCAGCAATGTTAAACACAAGAATTCTAACCAAGTCTATGAGAGGGCTAAGGAAAAAAATGGTACCTGGAGTAAAATGAGGTTATTAATAATGTGACCTCATCATAAGGGCATGAGAACAGCCTTAAAGTTCCCCTGAAATGGTGTCATTTCCCACTTTATGTGATGTATTTCCATGAAAGGTTGGGGCACTAGACAGTAAGGGATCAATTTAAAGGGTCTTAGTAGGCTTTAATCAAACTGTTTATCTGATCTTCGTCCCCCTTCTACCCTACTTTACACCTTCCCAGATGCAGAATCTTGGGGCTGTGTTCAACTACTCTGAAGCACATACACTCATGCCCACTTTACACACTGAGTGGCCACATGTACAGAGGTGTGAAACTATGCAGGGTTTAAACTTTCTCTCAAACTCTTTTATATTTCACTTCACACAACTACTACTGTCAATTTTCATGTGTACAGTCAAGTACGAACCCCTGAAAGTCATCAAAGAAAAACTGTGTAAAAATGTGCACCATAAACATATACTGTATATAATCAGCAACAGCATCCAGTACACAAGCTCACACAAGGTGTTTCATACAGGCTGGCTGGCAGCCAAAAGAAGCAAACGAGTACCCAGTGAAGAGAGCAGAATGCTAAAGGATGATAAAGACACCCACTCTTGGTACTGCAGATTTTTCATGGAAGGCAAGAAAGAAGGTTCTGATCATGTTGCACAGTGACTGCAGACTGTGATGTAATGTCAGGCAACTACAAACTATGTAACTAAGCGTATTATTTTAAGGTTTTGTGCTATGACTTCTTTTTTGGAGCTGTATGAAGAAGACTGCCCCATTTTCACTTTTAAAAACACAACCTCACTGTGTGTTTAGCAGTCACACAAACCTCTAAGAGCTTTGATTCATAAGTCTGAGTACCTGCACTTTGACTGAGAGATGAACTGTTCTTTATTCACTGTTACATATATTGCCTCAGGTATAACACTATTTCTTTTGTTAGTTCAAGTGCACTTATGAGCTGTAGTGCAATAACCTTGCAGTGAAATGTTAACACGTGAGCTTGCACAGTGAATGCTCTAGTGCCTCTCTACTTTGATCTGAGCATTTGGTGAGCGATGCTGTGCATAATGAAACTAAGGAAGGTAAAGCAGTGAGCAGCAACCCATTATCACACTGCATTAGTCTAAGATCATTAAAGTGCTTTATAGGCAAATAAGTCTGTGCATTTCATTTAGTGTCAGTGCAGAATTTCAACTCTCAACTCTCCTACATTTCCAGAAGAAACTAAATTACAGAAAATATGGGGCAACAAATAAAGATTAAAAAATGGGTAATACACAAAAATTTCAACACACTAAAGGAAACAAGATGAAGAGAAAAATTAAGTGCAAATGAATAAGATAAATAAGAGAAGCTGTTTCAGAGCCTTATTTTCTCAGCATAAGCACAAACGCCTAATTTTAACTGTAGAGAACACATTCACTGATATCATTTTGCAGCTTGAATGTGGTCATACACCTATTAAAATGTGTAAACAAATGCAAACAAGAGTGAAGAACCTGGTCAGGCTGCAGAGGTTTGTATGCCGTCATGATAAAATTCAGGCCAACTGTCAATTAGGTAATCAAACAAGGCATTAACTAGCTGAAGTGAACCATAAAAAAAAAAGCACATACAAGTCTGGTAGTGTTACAGCAAGACACAATTTCTCTCCTTTTCACAGCAATTTGGTAGAAGCATGACTGCTCTACTGATCTTTTTAAATGTTGTTGCTTGAGCCTTGCTGAAGTTCTGCATAGTGTTTACTCTGTCAAGGCATCCCAGGGTAGCATGCCTTGCACCCTACCGCTGAAGCAGCAGGCCCAATGCTCGAATTTTAAGGTCATCACCGAAACTGCTATATGATCTCCGCTGATCCAACAAACCAAAACATATCTATGTTGTTGATTTTAGTGTAGCCTACTACGGATCCATATATTTTCTCATCTTGTTTCACTACAGCTAATTTCTTCATAACAGAAAAGTACACAGACTTCATTTATTTTCAGTGTCTGCTATAAAGAAGAACTTGCCAGTCACATATTGTGACAAAGAGATAAAGATGGGTGACAGACGGGTGAGGAAAATCTCAAATAAATAAATGGAAATTAAAAGGAACATGCAGGAGTCACTGATTAATCTGCCAATTCCTTTCCTGATTATTTATCCTTTTTTTCACAAAAAGTCAAAAATTGGGAAAATAACCATTTTGAATTTCCATAATCACAGATGGTGTCTTCAAATGTCTTGCACTGTTGAGCCATTAAATCCAAATAGTTTCAGTTTATTATCATGCCTGACAAAGAAAAGCATCTTTTCTTCACATTAAAGAAGGTGTATCCAAATATCAGTGAATTCACTAAAACATGCAGCTCTATGTTATGAGGATGAAAAAGAATGAGGGAATATGTTTTGGAAGAAGGACATTTCCTCCTCCCAATAGAGAAGCCCTGCAGCTGCTCTGGAGACACTTTACTGTTTTATTGTAATTTGTCAGCCATCTGTATTTCTGGTGTAATTTCTAACCATAAGTGTGTTTTTTGAGACAGCATGTGTAAAATGTGGCTGAGCATATTCATTTAATCAGTTTTTTCCTAAAAGCTTTTAATCAGTAAAATGTTTGTGTGTAAAATAAAAAACGTAAGTAACTCCTTTCATAATGTTTGAAAGTCATTTAAAACGCTGTATTAACAGTGCTGAAGGTGTTCTTGAACAACCTGCACCAGTGTGAAAAGCACACACCTATACAATCAGTTCGGTATTTGTAGAAAAAGATGAACATGGATTTGTTATGCCCCGGCCTAGACACCAAAAAACAAACAAACAAACATGCATAAACTTACCTAACTCGTTGAGGCTCTGAGCTGCCTTGGTGAGCTCCCTGCTGCCCCCCTGAAGCTGGCCCTGGAGCCTCTTGCTCAGGTACAAAATACGAATGATCCTCCGTAGCAGGTCACAGGCTACCTGGAGAAGGAAATAAAAGGTCAGGTGGTGTGGTGAGCAGAGCATGTGAGCGGAGTAGAGCACGAGCGAACAGGGAGCAGGAGCAGGGGGATCTGGACAGAGTGCAGAGCAGCTTTTTTAAAAGGAGAGAGCATCACCCTATGTCCTGTTCCAATTTCACGCCGATACAGTTCATACTATGAGTCTGAAGCATGCCCAAGCTCAATAATGGAGTTCCTAAAGTACTTTAAGAAGGAAACTGAAAGGTGACACAGGTGTAACGTATATTTTTATTTAATTAGGCCAACTGATTCACTGAATTTTAGATATGACTTTTTGTGTTATGTTCTTTGTTACATTGGCCTAGCTGTAAATTGAAATAAATCATTTCTATTTGGGAAAAGGTAGTCGTCGTTCTTTAGTTGTAAGGCTACAGTTTAAGCTAAAAGTGAAACACATGAAGACTTTTTTTTCCTTTTTTGGAGTGAGTGGGTGCGATATGAGTGGAGCGGGATGCAATCGGAGTTCAGCACCGAGCGATAAAGAGCGGAGCAGCCAGGTGCACCTTTGAACAGGGGAACGGACCGGGCCAACAGCTCACCGTTCATATGCTCTGGTGGTGAGTTAACCAAACTTTTGGCAAAGTAACCAGGTTCAAGTTGCCATTGACCTTCAGTGTTGAGCAGCTTTCTTCATGGCTCATTTCTTGAATAATTCCACAATTCAGTCTTTCACAAAGTCAAGTTTCTAACAAATATATGGGTTCCAACTTGTGGAACAAAAACATCCTATAAGCCCTGATGAACATCTTATTGAAAAGGCTAAAACAGAATACAATCTAGAATAAATAAAACAAGGCTCCATTATTTCAGAATAATAAAAGCAGTAGACAAATGCTGTGTGTTGGAAATTGAGTTTGACAAGGGCCAAATTGTGATGGCTAGACGACTGGGTCAGAGTATCTCCAAAATGGTAGGCCTTGTGGGATGTTCCCAGTATGCAGTGCCCAGTAAAGTGATCCAAAGGAGGACAACCAGTGAACCAGCGGCAGGGTCATGGGCACCCAAGGCTCACTGATGTGTGAAGGGAGCGAAGACTAGCCCATTTGGTCTGATCCCACAGAAGAGCTATTGTAGCACAAACTGGTGAAAACAGTAATGCTGGCTATGATAGACAGGTGTCACAACACACACTGCATCACAACTTCATGCATAGTCACAGACCAGTCAGAGTGGTCGTGCTGACCCCTGTCCACCGCCGAAAGTGCCTACATTGAGCACCTGAGCATCAGAACTGCACCATGGATTGAAAAAAGGTGGCCTGATCTGATGAATCATGTTTTCTTTTACATCACATGGAGAGCCGGGTGCACATCTGTTGTTTTAAGAAGCACTACAGGAAGTAGGCAAGCCAGTGGAGGCAGTGTGATACTCTGGGCAAAGTTCTGCTGGGAAACCTTGAGTCCTGCCATTCATGTGAATGTTACTTTGACACGTACCACCTACCTAAACATTGTTGCAAACCAAGCACACCCCTTCACAGCAACAATATTACCTGATGGCAGCAGCAGGATAAAGCACAGGGCAATGCACCTGCCGCACTACAAAACTGCTCAGGAATGGTTTAAGGAACATGACATAGAATTCAAGGTGCTGATTGGACCTCCAAATTCCCCAGCTCCCAATCAATCAAGCAGCTGTGGGGTGTGCTGGAAAAACTGTTCAGATCCATAGCGGCCCCACCTTGCAGCTGACAGGACTTAAAGGATCTACTGCTAACGTCACTATGACAGATACCAGAGAACACCTTCAGATGTCTTGGTGGAAAAGAAAGGTGCAGCTTTTAAGGGCATACTTACTTTGATGTGAGTAAGCCACAATCACAGTGTTATTTCTCATAAGGTAGCTTGTACATACATCAAACTGCAGGGGAAGACCAGAAAAAGTAAGTGAACCCCTTAGCTAATGGTATCAACAAAAGCTACTTAGTTAGTTAATAAAGCTGAAGTCCAATCAATGCAACCATATTGTAGGTTTGAGTTAGAGCTACTTTGACTTGTAAAAAACACAAAGCATTTTGAGTTTGCAAGTCACAAGTGTCACAGGGGAGCTGGAGTCCATTTTAGCAACCGCTGCTACTGGGAACATTCTCTTGGATTGATAAACCTAAAGCACATTGTTTGGAAAGAATATGAGGCACTGCATATGGTGTGAACATGGGGATGCACACCAACACAAAAACATTATCCCAGCAGTAAAGTACCGTAAAGGGGTCATAATTTGGGGTCACTTTGCAGTCTTTGGGCTTGAACAGCTGCCATCATCAAAGGGAGAATGAAGTTTATCGAGGTATCTTACAAAATAATGTAAGTGTGGCTGTCCACCAGCTGAAGATCAGAAGATGCTAGGGGATACAGCCAGACAGTGATGCCAAAGCAATAATCTGAAAGAGGTACTGAAGTAAATCAACAAGAATGTCTTAGTTTTGCAAGTATTTGGTCATAAACCAAAGTACTGGGTAAAATAACATTTTGAGAGCTAGATGGAAAGTCATGGAATTCATTAAGTTATTACAGCTCATCTCGTGAGGGACGTGAATGTGTGTACCAAATTTCATGGTAATCCATCCTAAAGGTGTCAAATTAATTTCAGTTTGGAACAAAATGGTGAACTGACCAACACTGGCCTCTGCAGAGATAGGAGGCGATATGGCTGGACACACATGCAGGCTGGTTTTGTGTGCACTTCCCAGTCAAATGGTGTTTCCTGAAGAACTGATTAGGACTTTGATTATGTTATGATTGTGCATTGTACAGATGACTGAGGTTGGATTAATGCTGGGCTGAGTTTCAGCACTACAGAACACAACTGCCTAAGCTAAGGGTTAAAACTTGGATTCAGCCTAAGGTAAGAGGAGACACTGACAGATTGCATTGCATATTTATCTGACAGCCACAAGTTCTTGAGTGAATCTTTTTAATTTGTCTGTCTGTGTGTATATGCAAGTGTGTTCATAATTCTACCTACTTCTGGAAATATGGAAAAAAAGAAGCAATTTAAAAATTCATCTAAAACTATTAAGCTTGATCTACTGCATGACCAGCTGCCCTCAGCAAATTAAAAGTATGTTTGTTACCGCTCACTTCATCTGGTGGACACTAGCAAGTTGTGTAAAATAAAATCACAGAGCCTGATAATCTGACTGAATTGCATGTTTGTTTCATCCCAAATTAATGAAGTAATCAGACATAGACAGTGACTCAGACGTGACTGAACAATATTAATTCTACAACTTAGTTTGTAGTTAGGCTACATGGGTTGCATCTAAATGAATTCAAACATACATTCCATGTTGATTCTTGTTAATTTGAAGTGGATATCTTTCTAAACAGACAGTCCTGTATACAGGTCTCCAGAACTTGCATGTCTGTGTTTATTATCTCAGGCGGACGGAAGGAAAGATACAGTGTTGGTGATGAAAAAAGGCCTTGGATTCACCAGTGACTGAATGGCTGCTGTTTGAGGAACATCCAGCTCATACCCAAGGCTGAGGTCAGAGACTGGGATTGATCACACACATACACGCAAAAACAGAAAATCAGAGCAATACTGAACTAACAACACAGGAGAGACACCTCAGAACCACACTGACCTTTTTACAGCTGCTGTTTCGTCAATATTTAATCATGATTTCCCTCAGCTGCACAAACAGAAGAACTGTTCTCCTTTAGCTCATGTGCTTGCTTGGCCATGCACACACAGCAGCTTGGTACT